TACCAGAGAAGTGGGGTTGTTGTTATGCCTGTACTTGACCATGCGGTTCAAAAGTCTATGGAATCAGTTTGTGGGAGGAGATTAAAAGAGTTTGGAGATGCTGGCTGTAGAAGCAGCCCTAGAATGCTGTAAGCCCAGCTTGGTAGGAGGGTCTGGTCAGGGCTCAGAAGGCTAGAATGTGGATGGGAATGCAGGCTTCAGGAGGTTTCATCTGGGATCATGGACTCCGTATCATTTGTGTCATGCTCTGGTAGAAAAATCACCTACATTTTGATCTTGTCCTGAGACTTTGTGGTTGACTGAGATTATAGGTGGCAGACTAATTAGTGTGTTGGAGGAAATTTCAAGGCTGCTAAACATTCAGGCTGTGCCTTGGGTATTGTTGGGTTAGCAAGCTCTACAATGAGAATCAAGAGCAAGTGTCCAGCTGAATGATTTAAAAAGTTTTGAGTTTGACCAGAAAGGGAACTCAGGTAAAGTTGGGATCTGCAAAGATGGAGCAGAGGAGAAATTGGTTGCTAAAAATATCAGTGCTAAAAAGAAGCTAAGTACTTTACAAAAGGACAAGAAGAAAAATGGCTTGCAGGCATCGTGGGAAATGACAAACTCCTCCCTTCACAGGCTGAAAATTGCAAAAGTGAAAGACGTTGTTTTGAGAAGAGAGCCCCAGGGAACTCTGTTGGAGAAGGCAGCCTAGGGAATTGATTCCTCAGGATTCATCCAGGCACTTGGAGGTCTCTGCAACCAACAGCAAGATGCAAAAGGGTTCAGCCACTGCTCCAGCTGGTGGCAGACCTTGGCATCAACCACAAGGTGCTGGTTTTAGGCACAAGCAGAATGTGAGAGTTGTAGGGTCAGGGAGGCTTCCACTAAGACTTCAGAAGGCCTGGGAGGCTGCTCCTGAGAGGGCAGTGTGTGAAGCTATGCATGTGACACCAAAAGTGCAGTGGAGACCTCAGGAAGGTGGAAAAACCAGGACCATGGGATATCTGAGGAAAGCTGCAAGGAATGAGCAGGCCCAGTCCAAGAGAGAAGCCATGAGGGCTACAGGCATCAGTAGTGCTATCTTGGAGGAGCCACCCAAGTCTTTCACAGCTCACAGCTCACCACAATTTGCCCAGGGCTTAATGTATGCCCTGCTGGGCTGTGACCTCACTTTGGTCCTCTCTCTCCCCTACTTCTCTCTTTTGGAATGGGAATGTCTACTCTGTGCCTTTGTATGCCAGCAGTATTTAACTTTCTTTTGATTTTTTCAGGGGCCTACAGCTACGAGTTTGCCTTAAATCTCAGAGGAGACTGGATTTGGACTTTTCATCAATGCCGAAATCGTTAGGATTTTGTCAAGTTTTAGTGATGAACTAAGCACATTTTGGATAAAGGAACGCCTATGAGTTTTTTGGGGATAAGGGTGAAATGTTGTGTTTCATATCTAGATGTCCCCTCAAAGCCTCATGTGCTCATAGGTGGGGCTTTGGGAGGTGATTAGTTCACGGGGGTGTGAGAATCATCAGTGGATTAGTCCGCTGATGAGTTTATAGCTGACGTGCTGTAAGGAGATGGGATCTGGTAGGAAGAGGTGGGTCACTGGGGGTGTGGCCTGGAAGGGTTTATTTCCTCCCCAGTCCTCCTTTTACTCTCCCTCTGCTTCTCTACAGCTATTCCACGAGCAACCCTCTTTCACCATGCCCATGTCATGGCATCCTGCCTTGGAGCCAGCTATGGATTGAAACCTCTACAAACTGTGAGCTACAATAAATCTTTCCTCCTTTGTTAGCATCAAGTATTGTGTCCCAGCAATCAGGAAAGAAAGACATATGCTAGGGGTATTTTTGGTTTTGTAAGAATCCTCCAATGTAGCTGTACCATTTTGCATCCCCACCAGCAATGGGTGATAGTCCTTGCGGCTCTATAACCTTGCCAGGCCTTGGTTTTCTCAGTACTCTGCATTTTAGCCACTGCTGTGTAGGGATATCTCACTGTTGTTTTAATTTGCATTTTCCTCATGACAGATGAGTGGGGCATCCTCTCATATATTTATTTTCCATTTGTGTATATTCTTTGGTGAAGTGTCTGTTCAAGTCTTTGGCTCGTTTTTAAAATAAGTTTATGCTTATGTTGATGTTTAAGAATTCTGTGTACATCAGATAACACTCCTTTATCTGGTATGTCCTTTGAAATACTTTCTCCCAGTGTGTGGGTTCTTTTTATTCTCGATAGTCTTTCATAGAGCAGAAATTTCTAGTTTTCATGAATTCCAGCTTGTCATTTTCTTTCATGGATTGTGTTTGGTGTTACATCTAAGAAGTTATTGTTGAGCTGGGCATGGTGGTGCATGTCTGTAATCCCATCACTTGGGACACTGAGGCAGGAGGATCACTGTGAGCTCAAGGTCAGCCTGGGATAGTGAATTCAAGGCCAGCCTGAGCTACACAGTGAAACCCTATCACAAAACCCATGGTCATTCATGTTTTTTCTTATGCTTAGGCATTTTGTAGTTTTGTGTTTTACACTTAGGTTTGTGATTCACTTTGAGTTAGTTTCTTATACAGGATGTGAGATCTGTGGTGGGCTTACTTTTCTGCATGTAAGGACCAGTTGCTCCAACATCATTTTTTGAAGTTTCACTGTACTGTATTGCTTTTGTTCTCTTGACAAAGATCAGTTGATTAGATTTATAGGGTTGCATGTCTGGGGTCTCTAGTCCATTCATGTGTCTATTATTTTAGTACCATACTGTCTTGATCACTGTAGCTTTTTAATATGTCTTATAGTTCAATAGTGTTCAGCTTCCAACTTTGTTCAGTAACAGGTTGGCTATTCTGGGTCTTCTGCCTCTCCATAAATACCTTTAGGATGTTTGTTGATAAGCACAAAATACCTTGTTGGGATTTTGACTGATATTATGGTTAGGATCTAAAATGAGGAGAGCTGGTATGAATGACATTTTGTTTTTAATTTCAAACTCTACTTGTTCATTGCCAGTACACAGGAAAGTGACTGACTTGTATGTATTATTAATCACGTATCCTGCAGCCTCACTTCCTTTAGCTAAGAGTGGGGCCACCCACTTCCTTCTCCTGTCCGCCTCGAGTCGTTGCTCAGCATCCCAATCATGTCCTCTCTGGAAGCCCCTTACCCTAGAATGGTTAAATTAGCCCCAACCTGACCGCTTAGGAAAGTATCTGTACCCTGGAGAAGGGAGTGAGAACATCAACCAGTGCTGTCATGTGCAGATTCCTTTGCCACTAAAATGTTCCTACCCAATCATAAGAGATGTAAATGAGATAGGAGGACAGAACTGAAAATGCAGTACAGTCTGTAGTACTGAGCCATTTCTTTCCTTCCTTCTTTTAGAGAAAGAAACTATGGGTAGAGAAAAAGAGAAAAGAAATGTCAAGTGACATGGGAAAAATTATATTCAGGAATTCGCTTTCTCCCGAAAACCCCATACCTATCAAAGTTTGATAAAAATAAAGGTCTCCTTTGTCTAAAAACCCTGGTGTGCAGTCCTGTGCTCATGTTGTTTGTTTGATACCAAGGAAACACAGTTGATTGCAGTAGATAAAAGCAGGTCAGGGAAGAGAGCAAAGGCTAGCTCTGATATTTTCCTCACAAGCCAGATAAAAAAATAATTCTGACTGGTATTTGCTATAGAAAACACTAAACTCTTTATAAAGAAGAAACTCCTCCAGGAGTCCCCAAATTCCTCCAAGGTAAAGAATTCATGGACTTTAAGGTATTCCTTAATTATAGACTCAACAGGTTTTTGGACCTGAGTCGAGTTCATATCATAAGGGAAGAATCAGGGACATAAGACTTAAAACAATGTATGAACTGCACAGAGAATGAGCAATAACTCAGTATAGTGATGGCTACAAATGATCCTGATGCAGATGCTTAGACCCCCCAACTTTAAACCTCTCCACACATAGCCCAGTGTTTATGGAACTCAATGGTGTCACAAAACTGTTAAGCTTTGGGAGTTCTTGTTTTTCTACTTGATAGGAAACACCTGATGCTATTAAAAAAAAAAAAAGCCTCAGAAAAATTTCCTTTCCAGAATTTGGCTTTTTGAATAATTGTCCCCAAACTAGCTGAATAAAGATTATCAGTCTGCCTCACATAACCTCACATCAGGTTACAGAAAAGGGGCAAAGTTCTGCATGGATCATGAACTCCACTCTGCCGACAGAGCATGCCCATCCCCTTGATGAAGACATTAAACCTTATTGAAATGATCTGAAAGTTTCACATTTGCCCCGTTTCTACCAATATACAAGGGCAAGTAGGATTGAGGTGGTCCTGTCCACAGCTCTACTCTCAGATATACAGTGGGCAATGATGCATTCAGTTGGGAGGATGGAATAAGACACCTGTGTGATGTAAAAGGTCTCTCCTATGTGAACGTCAGCTTCAGAGAACAGCGTACCTTCAGATACTATGCACTTATCAGTGACTTGATGGAAAATAAAGACGGTCAGCAGTCACAAGAACACTGTGAGTGCATTCTAAACATCGAAGGTTTGCTGTATGTCATGCTTGTGTTTTTAGCCCGACCTCAAATTGGATTGCTGGTGGTAGCCGTGCAGCAGTGATGTAGGACCAGGGGAAAGTCCCCACTGCCCAGAGGGTATTCACAAGACACATTTCTTGGTCTGTACAGGTGATACTTCCCTCAATGATTCTAAAAATCAAAATTTAGATTTTTAAAAAGGAAATGCATCAACACAAAAAAAGGGTTTGATTCTGGAGCCCAGAGATTCTTTTCTATATTCCCAGTTGAATAATTTCACCAGCAGCCCACATGTAACACAAAATTACATAACTCACAATAAGCCAAGTACAGAAAGACGTAGTATATGGCGGCTCAGATGTAACAAATGCTTCCATAACAGAAGATTACCCCCTTCCGGATCCAGGAAGTATAAGCTCAGTTTCTGATTTAGTGAACAATCTGAAATATTTTAATTCAATGGTGAAATGCACAAAGAGGTTTGTTGATGCTACTTTAATAATTAGTAGAAAGCATATGTATATATACACCCAATGAAGTCATCTTTATTGCATTTTGCTATCTTAAAAAAATGTACAGTCTCATAACACATACAACAGTTTTTTCTTGGTACAATAACAACAGTGTTGCACCTAAAGACTAAGTGGCTCCAACTACCAAGCTAATAAGATACAAGATGTATCATTAAGTTTACAAATTAAAATGCTTTTTCTTTTTGGCATTAATTTAAAAAACAAACAAACAAACAAACAAACCTTGAAAACACACACCCAAGAGAGAAAAGTGACTACTTACACCAGCACCAGTCTAAAAAGTAGTTTTTTTGTGTTTTTTTTGTCCCCCCCCCCCAACAATGGCACATTCGATTACTGCACACAGTTTTTAGGGAAAGAAACCAAATACAGAAATGGCAAAGGTGGCCCACCAGGATGACCGTGTCAAAATGAGGGTGATTCAGAAGGGCAAGAGGGATGCGCTACACAAATGTGCTCCTTTCTGTGACTCTCCTTCCGCCTGTTCACTCCTTCACCTACAAGATGAAGCCATTGCGAAAATACACTTCCAAAACTGGGCCCGATCGCATTTCTCCTGCTATAAATAGAAAAGAATATACATAGAGGCACTTTAGTTAAGTAACAGAAAACCATCTTTCTAGCCTCCTCCTCCTTTCTGAGCTTATGAAGCCAAGTCACGTCTGCACCTTTAGCACGGTCTACATGTGCAGACCATGGTTAACAAGGGGCCGGGGAGCACAAGTCTGCTTGGTTTTTAAGACTGCTGTATTTGCAAGTCATTTACTTCCACATCATGGGTAGAAAGTTGCTAAGTTTGTAATGAGGGAAAAATGTAAAACCGCAGCTCTTGACAACTCACAGAGCACTATTTCACAGCTTTCATACAGCACAGATACCTTGCCATCTGCACTAAGCATCAGAGTTAGTACAAATTACTTTTAAGTAGTATGATTTCTGTACAGCGCACACACTGGTATTCGGTTCACCCCTGGAAATCCCTGGGAGAAGGTAAGCTCCTCAGGGGCAGGGACTCTGTCTTGCTTACCACTGTAGCTCTACTACGCCTGGTACATAGTAGGTACTTAATAAATATTTGTTAGTTGACTGAAAAATTCAATTTAGTGAGTAATGTTCTAGTGCACCAGGAAAAACTGCTCTCTCCACAGGAAACCCGACCACAACAGGACAGATGGAAAGAGAGGTGAAAATGTTAGCCATCCCCCAATACACATTACAAATAAATAAAGCAAAAGAAAAAAAGTAACAGTCCTCTTTATAGATCATATAATTTAAGGATATTAAGAGTTGGTAGGTTAATGGTAAGCGTCTATATTTTATTTTCTAATGTTCATTGTTTGTATTCATTTCTCCCTGAGAGCTTTATTTTTTTGGACTGAAAATTTACAGGTAGCTTTACCAACACACAATTTAAAATGACAACATATAACAGCAAACCACTTCAAATATACTTAGAGATAAATAGAGCAGGCCAGGTCTGTTGACATTGTTGACATTTTATGTATGTGCTAAGTGCTTTTTAGTCCAGACCTATATTTACAGAAGATGCAGCTTGTCCTACAAAAAGAAAACAGAAAATGCCAGAAAAAGGCATCCCATTAAAAAAATTAATTATATTCATCCCTTAGAGAATTCTTCCTTTAAGTCTTGGGTGAGGAATTTTGTTTTTAAGATTTAAATATCTATATTATTAGAACAACAAGCACATTCTAGCAATCTTGTTCTTTAACAAGGGCATGGATTGCAGTTAGTGTTTTTTCTTTTTCCCTAAAAGCAATAAAGAAATTATCAAGGGCACTTGGCAGAAAACTTGATGAAATTAGGGGGAAAAGAACCTGATGTTCAAGCTTTAAACATATAAAAGGGCCTGACATTGACATAACACAAATTGTGCGCAAGATGCTCTCAATGCACAAGGAAGTCCGCAGACGTCAACACACCCGCGTCTGCACCCGAGCAGTCCGACCGTCACTGAAGCGGGGCCCCCACTCACAGTGCCAGCTATGAGACACCAGGCTTGGTCTCAATTCTCCCAACCCCATTCCCACCGATGAAAATGATTTCAGAGTACATGAAGCTTGGAAACCACAAAATATTCACAAGCCTTTTTTCTGTTTTTCTCTCTCTTTACACTAGAGAATGTCTGTCACCTCTGAGGAGATGGTATTGTGCTTCTGAACTGTCTTGGTGTTCAGGGAAAGGAACTGGGCCACACTCATGAAGGACGACTCGGAGGTCTTCTGCACGCACATGAACGTAAAGACTTAGACCACACACGGCAGTCTCCGGACGACATCCAGGCTTCTATCTACAGTTTTCATACGCATATACACATCCATTTACACACACGCACACACTCACAGATGAATTGCCACTGTGTGGGTCGCAAGGCAGTGTAATGAAACGGTCTAGTCACTTCAAAGGGCTGCTACTAGGTTTCCTAGAAAAGTATTCAAAAGAAATTAAAAATTAAGTTTTGTGACTGGTCTTTCTCGGCTGCTGTCCGTCACCTGGTTAGAGATGCGTTTGCGATTCCGTTTCAGTTTAGAAAGGTCTTTGTCAAACACTTCTCCTGAGCGTAAAGCTGAGACGAGATCATCAAACTCTCCGCTTTCTTCACTGTTTTCTTTTGCTTTCCTCATTTTTCGTTCTCTTTCCCGCTGTTCTTTGAGCTGCAAACACAAAGCACCCTCTTAGAGAAGGGCGAGCACTGCGCTCTGCCTTCAGGGCAGATGGTGATGAGCCAGTCACGCATGCATGCACACCTACAGCTGCCAAGGAGAGGCGACTGGCACAGGGTTCTCACTGCAGAAACACCCAGCAGTGAAGACAACATGGCCCTCCCCACCTTCATTCTAGGAAAACCATCTATATTCTCATTTCAAAAGGAGCAACTGAGGCAATTCATGTTTCTATAACGGAAAAACAAAGTTTTAGTATAACGGCTCTCTAAATATTAATTTCTTTATGGTACAGAAAGTCTATAGAAACTAGTCCTCAGGGTGCATAGCTATGGCCTCCTTGCCAAAACAAGGTGCTAGCTGGGCATCGCCTGTTATCCAGCAAACTAGGAGGCTGAGTCAGGAGTATCTCAAGTTCAAGCCTAGCTTGGGCAACTCAGAGGCTTAGTGAAATCCTGTCTCAAAAAATAGAAAAAAAGCAGGAGATGTAGCTCATTTAAGGGTCCTGAGTTCAATCCCTAGTACCTAAATAAACAAACCAATACAAAATAAAAAATTACAGGTCTGTCGAAACAGCAAAGGGCTGTAATGTCCAGGAGACAGGAGCAGCCCGTTCATCATGTCCCACCTGTGCCTCCATGCGAGCTCGCCGTTCTTCCTCTTCCTTCTTCTTTCTCATGTTCTCGTTCTCCTGTCTGGCTTCTGACACAGCTTGGAGAAACTGATCAAAAATGCCAAAGAACTCATCGGGCTGTATTCTGCCAGCCTCTTCTCCAAAGTGCTTCACTGCTTTTGTAAACTGGAGAGAAGAAGATGTGAAGATGGTCAGCATCCTAAGAGAACTGCAGGATCAAAAGGAAACCTCTCTAGCAGGCCCACAGCTCAAACTGAGTCCAAGAGAACTTGATGGATTTTGAGGAGGTTGTATTTATCTTCAGCTGCTGAACACATCTAATAAGCATTTTGAAAGCAGGAATTTTAATACATCTCAACTTTTGAAACTGTTCATTCCTGTCTACCTCATTTCAGCTTAACATCTGTAATTACCTCCTATAACTTTTTATTAGCTAAGCAACAGAGAAAACGAGAAAGTAAACACTGGATGGCAGAACACCCAAGACACAAAAACCAACAGCAAACTCAGCAGGGCGGGAAACCTTATTCTTGCAGTTTTGCTTTGAAGTAGTTTAATACCATTTATTGGTGCCATATGGTAAATATTGAAAGCAAATGGGACCCAGTGCATTTTAGCTGTGTTTCCTAATCATAAGTAATGTTAATATTGTTATATTTCCTGGGACTTACCTAGAAAATGGTAACTGATGATGGAGTCGATGCAACTCAAAAGTTTTGACTAAAGAATATTTTACTCTGACTCTTTTAACGATTTTTTAAAAACAGACAAAAGACAAAATAATAAGGGTATATTTAAAAAATTAAAACAGAATAACAAAATAGTGTATCCCATCTTTTTTCCCCGTTTTCCCTCTGTTTCTGTTTGAAGCTCCGGTGGTTATCTTCAGAGCTCGCCATGGGGCTTTTTCAACTGTCTGCTGTATCATGAGCACCCAGCTAGTGCCCAGGCCCTCAGGCCGTCAGGACTGCACTTCTTCTGGGAGGATTGCGTGCTGCTCCTCAACTTCTGCTGACAGGGCTCTGAGTGTCACAGACAAATGAATTCTCTCTCCTTAGCCTAATCAATTACTTAAAACTATTCAGACTTATTTTCTGCACATTTAGGCCAAGACAGGTTTTCGCAGACCTCCTGAATGCAATAATTTCTAATTGATCTTATTTTCCTTATATTACCATTTCTCTTACTATTACTTGTATTACTATTATGCCTTTACTACATTGTTAAGTTTTTCTAATATTTCAGTAATAGTATATAAAGGAAATGTTTTCAATATTTGTTAAAACAATTTGAATAAGTTAGACATATATTTACATATATTTTATATATATTATTTCATATTATAATTATTTCATATAATACATCTTTTTAAAACCATTTTTTGCTTTTCTGTGGAGCTGTTCTCAATGTTTACTGATTTGGAAATCTTTTATTACGAAAGTGAGCTCTTTGGGGAAAAACATAATATTCTTCCCACACCACATTACAGTACTCTAGTTTGCTCCATGGTTTTATAAGCTAATTTCTAAAACTTCTGGTATGAACAAAAGAGCAATAAACAGTCTATAACTGAATTTCTAAAACATTCAAGTTCATGCACTTAAAACCAAGCTGAATGATTTTCTTATCTAGGAATTCTAGTGATGATGAAGTCATGTATATTTTAGTCTTAGAAATCAGAAAGAAACTAGGGCCAGATTAAAGTTCTCACACAAAATAAAACACATCCAGTTGATTCTTATGTTTGAGCTCCCTGCTGAGAGAAATACAATGTTGGGACATCAGGGAAGGGGGTGAGTGCTTCTGAGAAGTACATACTCCAGAATGGGTAGGCCCACCTAAGACACGGATGAGATGAGCCTGTCCCAAGGAGGTCTGAACCATGGCTGTGACACTGGGTGACAGATTTCCACTGTGGGACACGGGACATCAGTGGTTGGACCTCTGATGGCAATCATTTGAACCTATATTGTGTGCACACATATGCATGTGGAAGAATAACGAGGTGGGGGGAAGGGGTTGATGGGGGTTGTTTAAGTCTTGGTCATTAGCCAATAAAAACTTTTCCTCTGTAGAAAAACAAAATTTTAATTGGTAAGAATCATAAAAAGAAATGACTTACTAAAGAAAGTAGTACCTCTTTATATGAGGCTGTGAACTACAATGCATCTCAGTAAGTTCTGCTGGAGATTAACCGGGGTAGTCTCCTTTCTTCTTCAGCTCTAGCTCAGACAAGCATATTACGTACAGAGATACTGAGGCACATGGCCTTAGTCACACCTGTTCCTGGCTTCCATCATTTACTCCAGTTCGCAGAGATAAGTACTTCAATCCAAAAGTGACCAAGAGAAAATTGTCAAAAATTGTACTGATTTTACAAGTCTGGCAGGCAACACAGGCCACTTAGACAAGGGTGTGTTTCAGTTAACCCAATTCCTGGAGATGAAAACTCATCTATGTTACACAAAACAGTGAAATCTGGAAAGCAATTATCTGATGTTTTATTTCCTGAACCATGATGTTTTGATCCCATTCCTGCTACCTGCCACACAGTATAATATCTGAAGGTACCAAACGAAAGCCCAGCCCGGTCAACCAACACAAGTAAGTTACCAGGTCTTTAGCTTCTGCTAGCAGATCTTCAACGTCGGAGAAGCTGAAGCTGGCTACTGTGATGAACTGGCTGACCACGGATACAAACTTATCTCCAGGCTGCGGGGGCTGAGACTTCTGATACTCCAGCTCCTTCAACACAGGAAATGGATAATGACAATGTGGACCTCAAACACTGACATGCCTTGTATCTTACTCCACAGGCCTTATTATTTCACAACTCAGAGTGGCAAACACATCTACAGCACTGTACTCTGGTTTGCCACAGCCACACCCTCATGCACATGAAATACTGATTTTAATTAAACAGAATAAGGTAAACTCTAGGTATCCATCATTGTTTGGCCTAAAAATTAGCAAAAACTGTTGAAACAAGGCACAATATTCTCCCCATACTTGTTACGTGGCTCCACTTTCAAAAAAATTTTTAATGAAAACCTTAACATAAAAATAGAAGTCTGAGTTTTTAAAAACTGTATATAAAGCCCCACAAACTTGTCAAAGTCGTTCCTTATTCTACGAAATAGCGCCAGCAAGAAGAGTAAAAAGGTGTTAAAAACCATTACGACAGCATTTCTGAAATGCAGCTTGTCTGACCTCCCATCCCCCTAAAAAATGATGTATTATGGAACAAAAAAGGATTTTAAAATCTCTGGAAGCAGGATCAAGCTTTTATTGTAGTTCCCACCATCTCTAAGATGAAGGGGCAATGTGAGAAATGTGCTTCTGCTCCTGTCACAGCTTCTTGAGTCTAGAAGATGGATGAGGAATTAGGGTATGAGGCTTCTCATCAGAGGACCTGCATCTATAGAGGGCACATCTTTTAGGAGGGGGTGGGGAGTCTCTTGTCTAAACTCCTTCCCTCCTTCACGTCCCTCATATAAAAGGGAGATGGTGAGGTGTGGAACTTGCCCACCTAATACATGGCAGCTTGTATGACAGATTCAGCCACCCTTTTCCTGAGTTCCTCAGAGGGTTCTATTGCAGTTAGGGGGAGGGATTTAGTTAAGGGTGGCCCACACTGCCCTTGGGTTTGTGGGGAAAAGCAGCCCTGAATGTGGTGACGATGACATCATCCCTGCTGAAATCATCATCATCATCATGGGAAATACTCTAAAGGCAGACCCCAGCCCTTGCACAGAGGCAGGGAAACACGCTGGGTAAAATTCAAGAAAGACATACACATCACTTCCTCTTCCACTAGCCCTAGAAAAAAAGACATCCTCGGCCCTTAAAATGTCCCTCAACTATGTGTCTACAACTGAAAGCTCCTGTACACATGGAGTTGAAGACATTTCTAAAAAGGTTTGCAAAAACTGTCTTGGATTATTTTGCAACATTAACCTGAGTCTTAGAGAGCTGTCAGCACTGAAGTTTTGGTATCTTAGCTATCATTTCTCTGAGTGGTATACCCAGGAGGGGGGAGAAAAACATTTCACTATCTACTTTAAGTTTTAAAGTTTTAGGAGAAGAAAAATGAGCACCATGTTAACCAATTATCTGAGTACTTTATCGGTGTAATTTCTCACTGTGCCTTTAGAAGGTAAGCAGGTTAGTATTTGGATAAAATTAATAGACATCAAACAAATAATAGGAACGAACTGAAGTCAAAGGATTTGTGAGTGAAAGGAAGAGACTTTGATATTTGGTATTCTGTGATCAGAATTTTAGTGTCTCAATTTTTTTCTTCTTTCCTTCATTTCCCTTTCTGTCAAAGTCTTATTTACTTTCTAACCACCATATCTGGGTCAGTAGAATTTCAAGTACTATAGCATTTGGCCCCATGATCACCGACCATTTGTGAACAGGCAGGTAGGAGAATTAGTTTCATGTTAATCATCCATATTCTGTTACCATGGAAAAGAACACACACCATTCAAATTTCAGTAATTGATTTCAAATATTACCTGATGTACTTTCTTTTTCAATGCCTATAACTTTCTAAGAGGAATCACTATCCCCACTGTTCAGACATGTAAAGTAAGGTTTAGAGGGATTTAACTGTTTTCCCAAAGTCAAGTAACTGATCAGTGACAGGAAGAGTTTGAGGTCAGGTCTGCCTGCCTCCGGAGTCTCAGGAACAACTATACTGTTACCATCCGATGTAACTGGACACCTCCTATTTTCTTCTGTGCCTGCTTTGCCAGAGATAATAACAAACAGGAGCTTAGCAGTGAGAGGCCATGGGTTCTGACTCAGCTTAGCACTTAACTGCTTCTTACCCATAGCAAGTTGCTTCTGGGCGCAGTGTCTTCATTTTTTTAAAGGTAGGCAGTAGCCATATTATAATAGGAATCAAACGAAGTAACAGATGTGAAAACTCATGAATTATGGAGCTGGCTCTAACTGGAAGAATCTAGAAAGTGAGTGTATAAGTATGCTGGGCACAGGGATGGGAAAGCATCTTCAAATGTCTCATTAATGGATCATTTCATAAGAATTGCATTTCTGACACCTTCCAACAGTATAATCAATTTGGGCAAAGCATGCTTAGGACACATGAGTATTTCACCTTGCTAAACTCAAAATCCCAAAGATTTCTTAAGGCTATACCATGATATTTAAGCTGCCTGGGGCAGGGACAGAGGGCTTCTGTAATTCCTTTCCTATGAAAAGTAGGTCCTAGGGCAGTGGTAGCAAACCTATGGCACACATGTCACTGTGGTTTTCTTTTAAGACACAAGATGTTAACATCGAGCTGTTTTTTCTAAACTAAAACCTCAGTACTCAGGTTTAATTGCAGGGTTGGCACTTTGTGATAAGTAAGGGGGGGTTGTAGTTTGGCACTCATCTCTAAAAGGTTCGCCATCCCTGATCTAGGGGACGCAGACTTCAGTAAAACTGTGCTTTAACAAACCAAAACACAGAATGTCCTTGAAACACCGTGTCTCCCCTGCTCTCTGCTCTGGGGCTGAGTGAGAGGTCAGTGTCCATCATGACTTAGGGCTGTCACAACTGCCATGCTGGTCTCAAGAAAGCCACCACGGAGAGGAAAGGGCAAAGGGGTAGCAAGTATTACACGAGCCTCACCCCAAGTGCCCCACTCTGGTGGCCCTGTCTGAGAGCTTCTGAGGACTGTCCCTGTGCTCCACCACTCTGCCTGCGGGGGTGGGGAAGAGCGTTTACTCTATTTGCGCACCCTCTTTCAGCCATCACCCCTCCAAAACAAACAAACACGCCAACAAACAAACTTTATAAAACCAAAACCAAGCTCAACCCTCATGTGCTCCTAAATCCATGAAAGCCAATGGAAAAAATCATACACTATGATTTTAACTTTTATTAGCAGTATGTCCTTAGTGAATTCAATACTCTCTATGGCATAGCTTCATGATTTAAAAAAAAGAGAAGAAAGATGATCTGAAAGATATTTAAGGGCACTAGACCAGACCTATGTCTGGCTTCTCGGCAGGGTGGGCCATGAACCACTCTGCCCGCTGCTCTCATCCCTGGACTCTCCCCAGCCCTTGGCAGCAGCTTTTGCATGGTACCTCAGCACTGTGCTAACAAAGCCACATTTCACTCCCCGGCTCCTCTCTGCCTTATGTCCCCAGGCGGCCTTCCTCCTGCAAACCTGTGTCTTCTCCCTCCTCCTTCTGAGCCACTGCTCACTGCTCCTTTCTTCCAGAAGAGGTGCTGCCCCAGACACACGCCAGACACTGCCTGCGCCACCAGAGCACCCCAAGCCAGCCCTCTGTAACCGCTGAGCTTATCTGGACGGGACCCACCGAAGGAACTGGCTCTTCCTAGAGCCACACCACAGAGGGCAAGGACTCTGATTCACCTGACCCCTTGCCTTGAGCATGCCCTGTATATCCAAGTATCTGCTCAGGAAATACTCCCCACAGGACTGGCTCAAAGGCAAGCCAGACACTCTGTTCCTCTCCTGAAAGGAAACCCTGGATATTAACAGGATGTGGGGACTGAGAGGGCCCTTGATTATCCAGCTCACTTCCGCACGGCCTGCCCCCACGTATCCGTATCCTGGCGGTACCCACCCCAGGTCCACTCCAGGCGCAGTGGCCCACCCCGGATGGCCTGCTGCCTACTACCAAGTCGCACGCTAGACACAATCTGCCCTTGCCTCTTCTTCTTTCATTTTGTGTTGAACCAGGAGGCACTGTCCTGGGCAGAGCACATGCTACAGTGGCCATCAGCTCGTGTGCTGGGCATCATCAGGACTAGAGATAATGAAGAGACTAGGGTTAGAACAGGAAACCAGTACTCACTGTCTCTACTGCTTTCAAGCCACTTCTCAAGGTGTTTATTTCTTTGTCCAGCTCAGTCATGCTGTTTTAAATAGCAACATTTTAGTGAAAATCAGCATGTGACTTATGCATATTAAATACATGATGGCTTTAAATATTTCACACTTAAGAAAGCCCATGTTCACATCTCACAGAAAAAATGCAGCATTTTACATTTACAGAATTTAGGTACAGAATTATGCTTTTTGTTTTCCACAATCAGCAGGTGTATTCTACAGATTAAAAACAGCAAAAGAGAACTATCTACTAGGTCTATAAAAATATTTCAGGTTTAAGTCTCCCAAAAATCTCACTTGAGCAAGTTACTATATGTAGAAATACATTTCTTGTCATTACTTGGCTCTCTTGGAAAAAGTAAAAGAAACTGCATTACCCACAATCACACTCACATTCTGCTCTTTATAACTGTACTGCTTCTACTTGGGGCTCTGATAACATGAATAATATCAGTAATGGCTTAAATTGCAGTAAGCACTAGTTTTTCTTATAGCGGTACTATATAGTTTTCATTTTCATTGTCTTCTTTTTTTGTAATAAAGAAAGATTTCTGGACTTCTCTTATAATGCTGTTTAATGGTTTTTAAACATTCAAGATTAAAACTTAATTTTAAAAGATAATTCACAGTATACAAAGAAACTTCATGTTTTACATAGTAAAACATGAAGTATATTTGTACTAAATTCTACACAGGGAAAAGCTTAGCCTGCTTTTCAAATTCTCTGCAAAAAGACACTATGTGCCATATATAGCGAGTCAAAAGCGGGAGCGAAGAACATCAGGAAAAGCTGCCTGCTTCCCAGTCTCTGACATACGGTGTCATGGTAGAAGTTTGGCAACTTTCCACTTTATTTTTAGTTTCTTGATTTGCATAAAGACTGCTTCACATTAAAGGGCTGCCTTGGTTTTAGGGAATGTGTGTGTATGCAAAAATTACTAGCAATGCCCTTGTGTGTAGGTCTTCTATTTACTTACTCATATATCCTTGTGAACTCAGGATGCTCCTACCTGTATTTAACAGCACTGCTTTGTTTTTTTTTTAAACACTAGTAAAACCACATTCCTTTCTTGTACTATTAACAACTCAGAAAATTAGGATTTCTGAAAGTTAAAAATGGTATGTGGCAATTTTTCCAAAGGACCTAGAACAAATATGTATTTAAAACCTTATGACACATTTGAATGATTTGGTTATGATTCAAGCTTTATTTCATACAGTGTTCAGAGGAAAACTTGAGTTTATGCACTGCACTTCATGGGACAACACAGTCCAAGTGATTTAAAAAACTATAGCTCATGGTGAGTACTTACTTTACTTTTGCTGCCTGAGGAATATTCCGCAATTCTTCACCTAGGCTGAGGACCTTTGGGTATTTGTTTTCCATGATAGTTATGAGATAGTGCAAAAGGGTAATATTCCTACAATTAAAGAAGGAAAAAGAATTCAACATAATTAACTTGCCTTTGGTTTATATGCTTAAGGAGCAAAACCCATAATAATGTTATATTTTGGCATTAACTTTAAAACTTGGACATTCTGAAAAGGTAGGTCCTTTCAAGAGAAGAGGATGAGGAGAGAGTCTCAAAAGGAAAAGTGTGGGGGGGAAGAAATTACATTTTTGACCCACTGTGAACATTCTTCAAAGTGTGGGTAACGTAACAGGTGATGGAGGTGAACGTGAACCACTGCCAGTGGAGACCACTCAAGCTCGCCTTCACAGAGGATCTGACCCACAAGGGTGCCTTGCGAGTCCATAACAAGTCGACCCGGTTGGGGGCGGGGGGCATACAGAGAGTGAAGGATGTTCACCAAAGCAAGCAGCTACTTGCAAGGCTAGAAATACTTGGCACTTTTCAAGTTTAAAAAAGAAACTCACTGGTGAAAATTACTGATGATGCTTTTATAAGATTTCATCCAGGGGAAAAAATGGTGGAGTGGTGAGTGCTAACAACTCTGCCTTTCTGAGATTCAGAATCCAGACACTAGGAAATAGTAACTTGGGGAAGAAAAAACCAAAAGGTAGATCCCTGGGAACCAGGAAGAATCTGTCAGGAAAATTAAAAGCTACAAAGAAATTGAAGAGACAGAACACAATGCAGAGAAGTACGCACGCAGCTGGTGGGAAAGGGAGTCTGAACCCACAGAGACAAGATGAAAGCTGGGGGCTCCAGGGAGCCCAAGGGAGAAAGGCAGTGGCGAACAGACAGGCGGTGGTTGCGATCTGAGGGAGAGTGCAGGATTCCGCTCCCACAGATGTCCTTCCACAGGCACAGCTGGCGAGTGACTCTGGTGCAAGAGCCCACCACATCCCTGTGGAGAATGCTTGGTCGGGTGCCGTTCCGGGGAAGGGGTGATTGTTTGAACCCAGAGCACAGAGCAGCCGCAGGACGGCTTCGTGCAGGGCTCACAGTGTTACCCTCCAACAGTGATTAGGTGAGAGACAGCCGTGGGAGACAGTCAAGGTCAGAGGGCAGGTAGGAAAGAGACCTCCTGAGGGGTCTGGGCTGCAGGACGCAAGCCCGGACCCTGCAGGGCTGAGTAGCTCTGCATTTGAAAGACAGAGCCCTGGAGCCCTGTCTTAGCCCCACTGCCTGCCGGTGCTGCAGGGATCTGGTGTCTGACTGCCTTCTTTGTTTGTGTGTTTGTTTGTTTTGGTACTGGGGCTCGAACTCGGGAAATTGTGCTTGCGAGGAAGGCGCCAGAACCACTGAGCTAACTGACTGCCTTTTTTAATCTACCAGGGTAAGGAGGAACACATCTTGAAGTGTCCCAGAATTGGAGATCCTGGAAGAAAACCACCCATTCAAAAGCACAAAGGAATTTTCCTTTTATTCTTTCTGTGAGTGTGTATGCTCTCCCCTTTTTTTCTTCTTCCCTTTCCGCTTGCTTTTTATTGGGGTTTGGGATACTTTCTTGACCTTTTCCTTGCTTTTTCTTTCTTATTTTGTTTCTTTTAATTTTCTCCTTTATTTTTATTCTCCATAAATTTTTCTCCCTTTTTTCTTTTATCTTCTGTTTCTCATCAGTTTTTCCTGTCACCTTTACCTAATTCCATAAACACCCTTCTCCTCTCCAGTAAGATCCTCTGTACCACTTCTCTCTCCTCCTTCTCATACTATATAGATTAACATTTCATATTCTTCCTCTTGCTTTCCCTGTTCCCAAGCCCTGCGTCTTTAATAGTATAACCATAAAGCTTTACTAATCTTTCAATAGTTAGTTAACTATAAAATTACTGTTGAATTCTTTCTACCATTAGCGGAGATATAGCTGTTGCATTTGGTACATATTAGCTGTAAGTAAATACTGGGTTGTCTTAATGCTTACAGTATAATTGTGGATTTCTTATCCAGTGATAAGAGAGGTCCATAACTGGTTCTCAGGGTATATTAATATCCAATTTGTCTTAGATGATACTACTGTAGTTGATTTGTTTGATATCACCAGGGTCGCATAACTGTTGCTGTTAATGGTTTCTTTCTGTGAGCCAACACCCACATTACCTTTGTGACATTAACAACCCTAGGGTACATTCACCAAGAACTCAGTGCTGGGCCAATTTCCCTGCATTGTCCCCTCTCAAATTAACAGAGGTGGTTGAATCTTGGGACAGAGGCAAAGGACTATAGGTAGCAATGTCCTAAGTACACCACCGAAAAGTGACTAAAGACATGTCTTTACAGTAGTACTTCAGTTCATGAATTTAATTATTTCCATGATTCTGGTCCCAACCCAAATTGGAATTTCTCCATAAGGTCAACATTGAGCCCAACTATGGAATTTGATTTGGTTCTCATCCTATTTGGTTTGAGACCAGAATCATGGAAAGAATAACTTCATGAAATGAAGTACCAGTGTACTAGCAACCAAGTCTTTACACTGTAAGCATCCACAAATGTCAGCACAAAACAAAAAAAATAACAAAACAAAACAAAAACAACAGAAACATGAGAAGGAAGACCAGGCAACAATGCCTCCCCAAACTCCCAGCTCTCCTGAAGCCAGTGCGGGCGGGAAGGGGGGGGGGTTAAGGGGGAGAACAGCATAAACCACACACTTGAATTACTCAAAAGGATAACAGAGGAGGTTAGAAAACAGATCAAAGAGGTACTCAGTGGGATCACAGAGGATGTTAACTAAACAGATAAAGAAAGTAATAATCAAAATAACCTGGGAGCTTTCAGAAGACACTAATAAAAAGGTAGCTGAGCTAAACAAAACAATGCAAAACATGAATGACCAATATAACAAAGAATTAGAGTCCATGAAAAGGTTTCAATCAGAAACAAATGAGATTAATATTTATGTTGAAATTATGGGTGGCAGAGCGACCGGTGTGAGAACAAAATTTCAAAACTGAAAGACAAAAAGACTTCAACAGCCACAAATATACCTTAAAAGCAATGTTAAAAAAAAAGCAATGTACTAAACTCAAATCAAGTATCAAATATATAATTATTAGATCAAATATCTAAACATTAGAATAGAACAATCTGCTGGAAGACAAAATAGGTGGAGGTAGAGAGTTTCTAAACAAAATCCTGGTTACACAAGACATAATACCAAGAGTCAACAAATTGAACCACATAAAATTAAAAAGCTTCTGCACAGCAAAGGAAACCACTAACAGAATGAAGAGAAAACCTACAGAATGGGAAAAAAATTTTGCCAGCTACTCTTCAGACAGAATAATCTACAATATATAAAACATTCAATAAAATAAGACTCTCCCACCAAATTTGAAGACCCAATTGAAAAATAGCCATCTGGGCCAGATTTAGCTCTGTGGCACCGTGCCTGCCTGCCAATCACAAGGTCCTGAGTTCAATTCCCAGTACTGGGGACAAACAAACAGTAACAACAAAATGGGCATCTGAAACGAACAGACACTTCTCAAATAAAGAAATACAAATGGCCAATAAATACATGCAAAAATGTTCAACACTGCTGGCCATTTGAAAAATGAAAATTAAGAGATTCCATCTCACTCCAGAAAGAATGGCTATCATCAAAAAATCAACCAATAACAAATGCTGGAGAGGATGTGTGGGGGAGGGGGAGGAACCTTTCTTCATTGTAGGTGGGAGTGTAAATTAGTACAACCACTGTGGAAATCAGTATGGGGATTCCTCAAAAAAGTAAAAATAGAAATTCCATTTGACCCACATATTCCTCTTCTAGGTATCTTCTCAAAAGAGTGAGACATCATATTACCGTGACACATGGATACCTATGCTTAAAGCAGCACAATTCATAACAGCTAAATCTTGGAAGCAGCCCACAACGGAGTACTACTCTGCCATAAAGAAGGATAAACTAGAACCATGTGTAGGAAGATGGAAGCACCTTGAAACTATAATGTTAAGTGAAGCAAATCAGACACACAACCTTAAATATTGCATGGTTTCTCTTGAATGAGAAACCCAATAGATAAATAAAGTGCAAAGTAAAAGAAGGGCAATAGGAAATGGCAAGATGGATCTTTGGCATATGGGAAGGGCACCGAGAGATGCAGGGCCGGGAGGGGTGAGACGGGGAGGGACTGTGAAGTGCTGTGTGGGACACCAAGTCCCTAAGAGGAATGTGATGATTGTCATGTACTATTAGCATCTATTTTTAAAAATATACACGATACATCGTGTCTCTACATGACAGAGTCCAAGAGCTGCAAGGAGGATGAGTGAGAAGAGGGGAGAGGGCTAAACAAAGAGGATGTGCTACATACACGTACCCATGCCGCGTGGCAAATGCAATCACTGTGCACCACACACATGAAATGACACAAAGTGTAATTAAAATAAAGATGTCATCCAAAGGGCGGAGAGTTAGAAAGACCCCAATTTCAGGGCTGAATCTGGACTCGGGCCACGACTGTGCCGTCAGGTATGTGACATCCTGAAGCTGTGAATCACTTCTGCTTTTATAGCAACACTTCCGCTCTTAACTGCAGAACCCTTAGCAGCAGTCACAACTGTCGGCTGTGCCAACTCCCTCTCTGTGGTGACAGGGCTGAACCCAGACTGACCCAGACTGAGGGGGCATGTGTGATAACACTACAGGCAAAGCCGGGTTAGTCTGGTCCCTGCCACCGACTCTGCTGCACATTACAGTCACCTGGACTCCAGAGGCCTGGGCCAACCCTCAGTCATTCAGCTGGAACGAGGTGAGGGCAGGCATGGGTATTTCTCAGAACTCCCTGGTGATGCTAACATGCAGCCAGGGCCAAGAGGTGATCTGCTGAAGTTAACACAATCAGGAGGACACAAATGCTCTTCTTCACGAATATTTCCATAGTTTAGGCAGTTTGATAATTCACAAAGCTAAATCACAATACTCAAGCCCACCTCTAACCAAAGTGAATCAGAGTTGCCAAACAATTTTCTTTTCAATAACAATGAAAAGCATTTCTGGTTACCCCTGTGACTTCAGAGGGACCATACAAACCTATTCTTGAGTCAATGACTCACATTTTAATGCCTCCCTTTCTCATTAATTAGAAAACAATTGCCTGGCACAGCAAAAAGGCAGCCAATAGCCTGGACATGCATGCTTCTGTGCCCAGCTATGTCTGTCCGTGTGAGCTTTGCTGTCCTAGGATCAACCAGTTTGCCTTCGTGCCTCTCATCTAAGGGGCTGAGGCAAGGAACTAACTCCCAGCTACCATTACAAGAGAGCACATGGCTATTTTCCCTTGTTGTCTTAGAGGAATTTCTATTAACCCAATGAATTATATGTACCTTTCTTACTGTAGAAAGGCTTCAAACCAGGTCAGAAGTCCCCCATTTATTTGCTATCCAGAAAAGCATCTCATTTGACTAAATACAAATTCTTTATTTTGGTACTGGGGATCGAACTCAGGACATTGCACTTGGGAAGCAGGCACGGTGCCACTGAGCTAAATCCTTGGCCCAGCTAAATACAAATTCTTAATGAATGAATGATAACTAAGCAGCCACACAGCTGACTAGTGCCTGGCGATTATCAAGACCTTGGGTAGCCTGTACTGAGCTCCTGACCTATTTGACTGTGCTCATTTGCTGAGCGGGACACTGCTTCCTGATGAGGCGCTAAGAGGCACTGCAGGTTTATCCACATTGTGCTACACTGGGGGATCAAACACAGCAGAGAAAAGAGGAAAAAGAAAGAGATCAGAAACAATTTTGATTTTTTTCTTTTTAAAAGGTTTATACATTAGATACACTTTGTAGCAACCTCAAAAAGCAGATAACCACATAAACACCAGGTTATTAGTAAGGGAGTGGGCAAGTGGGTGATTCACTGGGTTTGTATGTGGCCTATATGTGCAGTTGCAAAGAACAGCCTTTCTTAAAAAGGTAGCTGCTCTTTATATGCAAGTAAGAGGCTGCTGGTCCCCATTACAGCCTCCAAAGAAGATCCACCTGTTGGCAAGAATGCAGCTGTGGACTGACCAACAGAATAAGTGTTAAATGAGGCCACACACCTTGCTTGTTTTTTTTTTTTTTTTGGGGTACCGGGGATCGAACTCGGGTCCTTGCGCTTGCACAGCAGGCGGTGAAACCACTGAGCTAAATCCCTGGCCCTGACCTTGCTTGTTTTGACTTTCAGCAAGTTAAACGAGCCACAGGCTGCTGCCTCAGTTTCCTTACATGTGGAAACAGATTTGGCCTGTGAACTTCACAGGCTGCTGTGATAATCAAATGTGAATGTGCTACGAAAAGGATTAAGCACACACGAGGGGGTAAGGTGGCAGGGTGGGGTAACAGCAGCTGCTCTGTCTCTCTGTAATGTACAGCAGCTAACACATAGTGCATTTCTTTCAAAATGGACTGAGGCTGTCATACACAGCTTCACTAACCCTACAGAAATATAGGGTGGAACACCTCATTAGCTAGGAATAATTAGGATGAAAAGTCACACTTCTGAAAATAATTTAGATACAGAGAAGCTTACTTTTGAAGTCAGTGAGAACCTCAGAGGAACAGAGCTCTCAGGGAGACTACAGAAAATATGCATAGTGAGCCTGCCTGTTAATGAGAGTGTTTTTACTTCTTGGTGTTTTTAACCAGAATCTGTTCACCTAAACTGCAGGGCTGAACACTTTCTAGGAAGCATTTTAATGAGTCTTGGGATGAGCAGCTGATACTAACAGCCAAAATGCATTTACGCATCACAAGTTTTTCATATAGTAGCTTATTCCTTTTCTCTGGAACACTAGTCTCTGTAGAGAGGTGTGACTACCAAGAGAAGACTTCCAGAGTTATCTGGTGATGTTTCTTGATCTCAGTTCTACAGGAGTATTTGACATGTCAAAATTCATCAAGCTATACATTTAGGGTTAGTGACTTCTCTTTTGTACATTATACTATAATTTAAAAGTTTGGTCCCCTCAAAGAAGCAGGACTAAGAAAGGGCAACTTGGAATAGATGGTATTCTATGCATTGAAAATGGGTGAGGGAGAACTAGATGTAGGGAACTTGGGGGATGCTACTGGTTAAGAGAAGGAGAGGAATTATTGATAGAGGAGGAGAGTACCAAGAAAGAGAAGTTCAATATGGAAGCAACAGATGAGTCACAAGAGGGTGACAACCCATCACCCAGATACTCCAAGTGCCAGGAGATCCTGTACTTACTTGTCAATACTGGATTTGGTGTCAGCAATCTTGTTGAGGCTGGATATCTTGAATCCATAGGCATTGCCTCTTTGGCCCTTATTCATATAATTTCCAAATGCCAAAACCACCTCTAACAACTGCTTGAGGGCACCACTCCTAAACACCTCTTCTGAGCCAGAACGGATCGCTTCAACAAACCACATAAAAACACAATTATTACAACCAAGACTTGCAATGATTCCCGTCCTAAAGTCACATTCCATAACAGAGATTAGAAGCGTAAGGCCGAGTGATTAAACTGCCAGGAAGCACCCTGAAAACACCTAAACTACAAGCAAAGAAGTGGGGGAAGTTACAGTGGTTAGAGAGCCACAGGCAGCGGCAGACTGCTTTCCTTTCTTGTCTTCAACCTTAAGTATTTAAAAATGTATAGGACAGCAGTTTCATTCACAAACCCCTTTGTAAACACTCATTTGTCTGGTATTTCTATCATTGTACTGATAGAGAATTGGTCAAATTTGTGACATGTTATGGCTCAAGGTGTCACAAAGGACTGGAGCTCCAGTGGCTCTGATTCCAGCTCACACTCAGTAGCTGCGTTTTTTGGTGGCCTCAGCTGTATCTCAAATATTTAAAAGCCTCAACTTTACTCTTGGAAAAATCGAGTAAGGCCCTCTTACAAGAAAGCTAATTACAGGTTACTTGCGTAGCAGTCAAATTAATTTCTGAGCTACACAAATGGGGTCAGAAGCCTAGCCCAGAAGGAGAGCCTGGGACCTATGCCGGCTCTCAAGAGTCCAGGCTAAGCCAGCAGGCCAAGTGTAGACCTTAACATTTCCAGAGATTTCCAGCAAAAAGTCAGCAAAGGACCCCTGCTTGCTATGTGCACTTGGATCTGACTGTGAAAGTGGGCACTGAGACAAATAGCATTCCCAAACAGCCAGCGCTCAGCTTTACCTTCCACTTTGGGTTTCACTTCTGCCACACGCTCTGCAAACTTCTTTTTGAAGTACAGTGACTGCAGTCTTTGCTGGTAATGATTAATCCTGTAAGAGCAGGCACGGATGGATTAATGTTTACCTAATACGAGAGCCCATCTCTGTTTGACTGACACAAGGTATGTGGGCAAATGCCCCAGACCTTGAGCACCTATCAGGGAGGGCCTGGTGCTGTCACCACAGCCCCTTTCTTCCCCTAGAACGGCAGACACAGAAGGAACAATGGAAAGACTCCATAGTACTGCAAATGCAGGACAGTTTCCTATGCTTCTCCTAAGTTTAACTTCTCACAAAATGTGGCTTTTGGCAAAACTACAAAGACTTGTCTCCAGTATCACCCCCTGCAGCATGCTGTCCTCACTCATGTCCCCAAGTCTCCCTTTCCCTCACATTTAGCTCTCATCAGCTCCCCTCAGGGCTGGCAAGCCCTGCCTTCCAGATAGTGACTAGAGGAAACGGGCACACGCAGCCTTTGATCACTGCAGAGCTGAGTTGCTCTTGTTGGTGCAGGGTTACACTGAGCATTCTCAACGTCAATGCCTGACCTGCTTAGGGTGGATGCTTCAGTCCAGCAGGACTAGGTATCAGGCCCTCCTTTAAAACTGTGCCATATAACCCTGCTATATGGGTCTCTCAATTCCTAATTGCTCTGAGTCTCCTCTTGTCAGCAGATGGAAGAGAATGTTTCCCTCCCTACTGCCCCTTCTGGCAGGGCTGAGAGGACGACATGCACAAAGCTCTGCGTGCTTATTAAGCAGCGGCTATTTCAGATGGCCACTTGCTTGTATACCCTGAGGGTGACTGGGTGCACCTGTGAACATTTCAAAGCCACCTTTTGTTCAACTGCAGTGTATAAAATGGCAAGTTGTGATGCAACAACAGCAACGGCACAGTTAGTCTGCACATGGCAGAGATAAACAGTGAGAGCCGCGTTCCCCTGGCTGTGTTCATGGGCCTCTGGTACTAAGAGGAGAGCTTTGCCCCAAGGGTCACAAGTTTCAGGACCACTGGTCCTTCTCTAATACAAAATCAACTTACTAGGCTTGGACTGGCAGAGACCCAGCTCACACGCCAAGCCCAATTACAGAGCAGTGGCTGCCTGGGGCTATCAGAAGGGTTCAGAGCTCACCAAGGCTCTAGGGGAGGCACACCAGGATTGATTAGCAGTGTCTGCATGCGTCCTGATTGGACATGCAGCTCTAGCTGTTCAGTTATGGGAGCTTGAGGGTGACAACTCAGAGTCTGTTTTTCTCCTTCAATTTTATCATAACTTGAAGTGCCAAGGTACTAGGAAGCATGAGATACTATCCCAAGAAATCAAAGCGGTAAGAAGAATGGAAGAGTTAGGGTCCAATAAGACCACAGCACGGAAACCAAGGAGGCCCAGAGACAGAGTGCTGTGCCTGGCTCACGTCCCAGGGTTAGAAGTCACAAAACAGACAATCAAATTCCACACAACTCAGACTTGGGAAGATTTAGAATCTAAAAATGTTTTAAGGTAAGCAGGTTAACTGGTCCAAGAAATTCAATGCAAACTGCAAGTTTAACTTCCTTAGTAAGATAAGGGCTTCATTCATCTTCAGCATCTTCCAACTCACCGGCTCATCTCGAAAAGGAATCGATCAGCCTTGGCCATTCGATCCAGTTCATGTTTGTGTTCCTCCAGCAGGTCTACATCACTTTTTTCAGGAACAAACTTCAGAAGCTAAAAAGCAGACATTAAAACCAAAGTTTATAACTTACATTTCCACAGAACATTTTCATGCTTTTTTATCCCAAGATGAAATTTTAACTTTTGAATTATAACCTTTGCTCATGGGTGACTAAGATATAATGGGAATGCCTAAATATTTACATTTGTACTCAAAAGTAGTTAAGTTGGTCTATAGTTCCTTTCTGGCACCTTTCTAGTTTCTACACCTCTCAAGTAAGGACTGTGGGAGTTCTCCTCCAGCACCCACTCTGTATGGACCATGAGAGGGACTTCAGAGACTGACACTTGTTGGAAGATGACACAAGCGAGGGTCAGCGAGATTAAATGGTTTACCCAGGATTACAAAGTAAGCCGTGTAAATGTTAGAAATAGAAGCTAGGTCTCTGACTTCCAGTGCTATGCCTTTTTCTGTTACATGACTGAATGAATAATTCCACTGTAGTTCATTCAATTTTCTTATTTTTCTGCTTATTTAATTCCATCTAATTGATTGATCCAGGTAGAGATGAATGAGAGGAATACAATGGGCTCTGATGTTTTTGATTCCATATTTCATTTTGGAGGATGAAATGAGCAGAGCAATAGAAGCAGCAGCAACAATATTTAAAGTGGAAAAAGTACTTCTGAACATATCCGATTTGAAGATACACACATTTGTGAATGTACGAGTAGGAATATGCACACACTTTTTCAGATCAAATGCCCCCGAGTGCTGAGATCCTCTCCATGACTCCATGCTGGCAATGGGCGGTCCATTTAGCAGATCTGCAAAGGTCTGTTGGACTTAACTGAGTAACAGTTTACCCCAACGTCACTTGGGCATCGAGGTTGTTTAGATACTGATTGTCCCAAGTGTCGCTCAGGCAGGTGGCATTTCAACCAGCTGATCCTGTACTAATAAACTTGATAAAATCATTGTTTTTATATTTCCTGTTATTTTATAAAAATTACAAAAAACATGCAATTTTTGGTCATCCAGTACTTAAATAATTGGATTGGAAAGTGGTTAATTGGGGGACCTCAGAAAATGCAGTGTGGATGCCACCAACAAAGAAAGAGAATTGGACAAAAAAAAACAAAAACAAAAAAAAAAGAAAGAGAATTGGAATCATAGGGAAGGAGGCATAAGGACGTACGGGAAGTGGTATGAGGTTGGAAACGTGTCCTATGTAGTGTGCATATCATGTTCCATGGCCTGGGACAGGCAGCAGAACATTTACACAAGGAGAAGAGCAGCTGCAAGGACAGCAGGAGTAGGAGCGGGCAACAGCAGGGAGCAGTAATGACCTTGCAAGAAGCTGTCTTTGTTTTGGGGCCACACAGTCCCTTGACACCTTTATGTAAAGGAGTTTGCATTTTAAGAAGATCACTGTGCTTTCAGAATAGAGACAGAATTGGAAGGGATCAAAATTGTTAGGAGATCATAATGAGGTAGCTGGTGCAGTGATCTAAGTGACAGGTGAGGTGTCCTGGGCTGGTGGATAGACTCCAGGCCTGTTTAGGAGGTTGAATCGTATTGGCCGGAGTTGTAATGGATGAACTGTGATAAATGAAGAAAGCAGAGTCAAAGATGAGGCCTGGGCTTTAGGCTTAGGCAACAGCACAGACAATGTTTAACAGGAAACCAGGAAGAAAATGTTGAGGTGGGGTGGGAAAAAGAAAGGGAACTAGTGTTTGAAATAGTCTCCAGAGAATGAGACAGCAGCTTCTCACAGACAGTTGGACAGATGGGTCTGAAACCCTAAACAGATCTATTTAGAAGTCAAACTACTGGCTTTGGTTGTAACACAACTGCATGGATGTGAGTGAGATGACAGAGAAGTTGTCCAGAGGAAAAAGCAGAACTGGAGGAGAGGAGGGACCCCTGAAAGAGGCCATGGTGTACAGCCAGAGCAAGTGGCCATTAGGGTCACAGAGCACCAAGAAATCCAGGGAGATACAGATGGCAAAGTGTCCCCTACCTCTGCCGAAAGGGAAGCTGGGAGTGTCCTCAGCTTTAGGGAGGGGAGGCGGACAATGAAGAACGAAGAGGAAGTGAGCGAGGCCAAGTTTTCAAGAACCCTGGCCGTGCTGGAAAGAAAGAGGACAGTAGTTCTGTGTGTGCATGTGTGAGTGTGTGTGCGCGTGTGCGTGTGTGTGCGTGTGTGCGTGTTAATGTCTGAGACTTCAGCAAGCTGAGTGGGCAGGACAAGGACGGAGACCTAGGAGAGAGCCAGCAATGCAGGTCCTGAGCAGAGGAAAGGATGGGGCCCGGGCAAAGGCAAGGAGCAGTGCCTTTCTCAGAAGGGGTGAAAGAGGAGACAGGAAACTTGCGAGCTGCTCAGCTCCTACGCATTTCTGTTGTGTTCAAATGGGGACAATGGACAGGATGCATGCCTTCTTGTTCCTCCTCAGTGCAGGAGGGAAGGAAGGTAATGGGGTAAGGAGGAGGAAGGTGGAAGAGGAAGGAAAAGGTTTGGGTTTATTTTTCCCCCGTTGGTATGAACTGTTACTTACTGGGCAAGAGAACTCAGTTCTAGTCTGGGGGATCCTTTCGCCGACCCCCACAGCCCCCATCCTACGTGTCTGCTTGCTAGGAGTCCATGGGCCTGTGTCTGGCTACATACAACAGCACAGCAAGAGGCACGTGCTCAAGGCTCAGCCTTTGCAAAGGAGGGCTGAGTGAGGCACTGTGTTGGATAGTTGTGAGAGAGGAAGGAGAGCTAGGAAGGCTGCTGGAAAAAGCAGGAAGAGATGCATTCCAAGGAAGAGGAGTGAACCTCTCCTCTGAGACATGAGCTTGGCAGTAATGAGCAGCAGGACAGGAAGGAAGGGACGTGCCCTAAATGCAAATCACAAATAGGGGTAAAGAGATGCTGGTATCAAAACTTCTCTAGCAAGAGTAGGGTATGGAAGAAAAGGACGAGCAAGAGCAGCAAAATAAGGGGGGAAAAGAGCGTGGGAGCTGAGTAGGGATCTCACAGAATTATCAGGAGAGACCAGGTCAAAATATCTCTCTTGGCCAGATTCTGCGTCAGTAGACAGATTTTCTTACTTGTGTTTATTTGAAGTATGTTCTATTTGCACTGTGAGCTTTTTGGCAAGATTTTGAAATCCTTTCCCTCAAGGAGGAATTTTGCTGGATGCAATTTCACAGTAAACAGATCTGGTAGAATTTTAAAAACTATATGACCTTGTTGATAGGGGCTAAAGACCGAAGTACTACAGCAGCTTTATACACAGTGCTTCACTCTGGGTTAGCAACTGGAAGGCAGGGTCACCTGGGAGTCAGAGAGGGCTGAAGAGGGCTGGGTGTCACTGTCCCAGGGCAGGGATTGTTGTGACTGGAGTATGGTGAGGGAAAGAAGAGTGTGCAGAGGGCTGGAACACACTCTAAAAAGGTGGGGAATGTCTTTACACTATCTATATGTAGAGCACCTGGAGCCTGGAGGACACCGTCATTAATTATTTTGACAAATCAAACCTTTAAAGGACAGCATGCATGGTGTTTCTACTGCTACACAAGGGTCTTCACCCAGGATGATACCAGCTGTAGGTCCAGATGGGGGGGGGCACAGCACAAATAACTCCTTCCCGCTTTGTTTCTGAGGCCCCCAAGGCCATCAGTGAGGGCCATGGAAAAAGCACATGCAGAGAGACAGGTTCTCTACCCAGAAAGGCCTCACTCACAGTCTAGGACCACAGACAGCAGGGCAAAATACCCTTGCTTTCTGCTTTTGGAGCTGAGCATGCTTCAGATGAGACACTGAATTCTCCCTGGAACCATGGTCTCTTGTGCCTATAGTCGACCGTAAGTGGATCTGGCTCTGACAAATGACACTAGAAATCTGATTCCATGCCATGGATAATGGGACAGAAAGATGGAATAGCCTTAAAGCATTCTGAGACTGTTACCACAAAGCTCAGAAATATTTAGTTTCAGACCAAGGGGTAACGGACATGTCCTAGCTCAACAACACTGTCATTCGGGGACAATTGGACAAAACTGCTGAACAACACAGGATAAGGTCAGAATGGCTAAGCAGAAGTGCTATAGAAATGCTACACGAAGAGGGACCAGGACACCACAGGAGACTGGCTACTTGGCTATGAATAATAAAATTCGTCTAGGGACAAAGATGTGTACTATGCGTAAATCCCACTTGCTGAGCCTGGCATACAGACCTACCACTGTTTATGAGAGAAGAGGATGCCATACATGGACAACATGAGCAGAGATACTTCTTAGCCCAAGAACTTGACATTTCATCTCATGACACATGGCTATTTTGACATAGGTGACAGTGCTGGGGTTTAAGAGTGGCTTTTGTGCTGGTGGGAATGATGGGGCAAGACCAAGACACAAACCATATTACAATTTTAGTGATGCATCAGTCTATGCAGTACAGTTTGTAATCTCATAGTGCCGGCATGATTCTCAGCATTCCTGTGAAACATGTTTTCTACTAAAGGTAGTGTATTTATGTGAGCTCCTAAAACAAAATAATTTAATTGCAGCTCAAGGAACAGAATTTGGCAGTGTGGGTCAAAGACTCTGACAAACGTGTGACTCCTTTTCAGCTATCATTGTGAGGAACAATGAGAGAACAAAGTCATGAAGTCTCCCAAAGAGCCACATGGAACCTTGGTTCAACCTTCCCGATCCAGAGATGGGGAAGTTGTCTATGAGCAACAACCAGATTTTCCCAGTGTCGGATTCCCCTCTAAAAGCCAGAACTTGGGCTCTGAGAAATGTCTGGCAGCTCACCTGTTCCAACATGTCTTTGGGCAGATCTTCCTGCTCATCCATTGTTAGAATTGCCCGTTTGATCTCATCATTGGATAATTTCAACCTGGAGAAAAAAATGTGTTAATATGTTGTTAGCAACATTGGTATGAACATCAAAATTTAATACAAGACAACTCATTTTACTACCCCAGCTATGATTTTCAAGTACAGTATTTCTCAAAATCTTTCAGTAAAAGCTTACTTCCTGACAAAATGGGATTCTGAAACTGTAAATAAGATTTTGAAACTGCTTTAACATTCTTTCAGGGTTTTGTAATGCTCTGAGGACACAGAACAAAGCTGCTGTGTTCTATCATTTAGTTTCCCAAAGCACAGTATTAGAAGACTAGAACTAGGAAAAGTATTCACATACAGCTATCTTATTCTATATACAGCACCCATGAACTGAGATGAGAAAACTAAATTTCTGACCTAATGATATACTTAGAGCATTCTGCTGTCAGGTTAAAACGCATTTTGAGAATATTAGAAACTACGTGTTACTGTTCAAGAGTTGACCAACAGTTAATATGCAAAAATAAAATGTATCAGCACTTCATAGCTGAGGAGTTGTCCCATATATTATTTTATGTGATTTTCAAAATAACTGTCTTTTCCTTAAACCGAGGCTCAGAATGGCGAAGTGATTTGCTGGAGGTCAAACACAGAAAGTGACAGTACCCACATACTCAAGCTCTCCTGTGATTGCTTATCCCCATTTTTAAAACAACCACAAATATTACTTATCTAGTTATTATTTCATAGCAAAGGATTTAGGCAAAAACACAAATCTGTTTTCCATTTTTCTGTCCACCATAAACTTAAAGGATTTATTAATTAGGGATCTGTGTCTTAAGGTGTGACAATAAAGTACTGACCAAAACACAAAGGTTATGAAACCAAAATATACCTATAAAAATCTGTTTTACAGTAGTCTTACCTAGGGCAAATAACCTTAATCACATTATCAGTGTGCTAAAAAATCATTTCTTTGTTCTGATTATGAGCACTGGATCCATACTCTGATTGACTGACTGACTGGCACTGGGATGGAAGGTAGGGCCTCCACACTGAGCTGCACCTCCAGCCCCACTTTTACTTCCTACCTATTTTGAGACAGGTCTTGCTAGGTCACTAAGCTGCCCAGGCTGGGCTCAAACCTGTGACCCTCCTGCCTCAGCTTTCCTAAGTTCTGAGGTTTCAGGGACTTGCCAACATGCCCAGATGCTCATCTTACTTCCTGAGGAGCTGCCACTAATGCAGCCAATGAAGGCCCCTTGATGTATCCTTTTAATCCATGTGCTTTCCAAGAATAACATTTAGGACTGAAGCTAAAGACATAAAGACACAATACAGAACAAGATGTGGACACATCACATGGAACTTTTGAAGGTAAGGGCTTTGGTGTTGGTCATGATTCTGACACTGCCAGATTTCTTCTATAAATCCTGTTTCCTCATCTGTAAAACAGGAGTAATAACTACATAAAAAAATAAAGGACTTTGTACGCACAGGCACATACACACAGGACTGAGTTAAACAGTCCATGTGAAGCATTTACACGAACTACACAGAGCTGCTGGGGCGCCCCGCAGCCTCAGTGTGGCAGCCTGGTCAAGTCCCCTGCTACCTCTAAATAGGCTCGGGAGCGTCACTGCCCTCCCTAACTGTAGGGGACAGGGGAAGGGGACGTTACCAGAACCTCTGCAGTGAGTCCTGGTCTCCTGCGAGCCACGGCAGCACACGGCGAATTACAGGAAAGGTAGAAAAATGAGACTGAGAAGAAGCTGAGCTTTGGGTCTGATCAGTGCTGCTCTGGGCAGCAAAGACAAAGCCCCCAGCTTACCACACCTTTTATTCAGTACATCAGGAGAAACAAATGTAACAAATGACTTGCAGAGAGTTCAATAGTTCACACTGGGATAAACAAGGTGTAACGGAAGGCTTGCAGAGAGTTCGTACATCTCCCGCAAACAAGATGTTAATCAGTCCAAGAACAATGAGGAACTGTGCAGATGTTTGTTCTCCCAGGATGTTGCTTGTCCTGGAGAATCACAGCATCACTGGATCACTGAAGTCTCAGTTGTGACCGGAGGCCAAACTGGAGTTATTCTGTAGCTTGGCTGTAGGCAGAGAACTAGGCAACCAAATGATTTTTCCCTAGAATTATGTAGCATTGCTCCCAACACCTAACAAGTGGCCCTGCTCCACAAGGCTGTGTGTCTGGCTAGGGGTGCCCAGGCATTTGCATCATACCGACTGCACAACACTGTATGATAGTTCCTTGTATACCCCTTCCACTCAGCACGGCCGGCTGCTAGCTGCAGTGAGCCCCACGGAGGCCACTTGGTAGGGCTATGCTTATCTGGAGACCATTGTCAGCATCAAATAAGGCCCTGCCCAGCAAGCAGCTCCACACCTGGGCCTGGAAACACACCTTCCCACAGAGGACCTTTGTCAGGGCTCCAGGCCCAACCAGCCAAGCTCCACTGTGTACCAGAAGCACACAGCAGACCAGACAAACTCCTGGTGGAGCAGGCAAGCCCTCCCTCCCCTGGCTCGGAGGCTGAGTAAGTGACAGAGTATGACACCCTGCCTTCTGACTCCATCTCTCAGTGACTCAGACTCAAATCTCAGCTGGCCAGGTGGTGCTGAGGTAGAATCACTGTTGCCAGGAGGTACTGCCTGGGGAGCCCCAGAGCTAGAAGAGGCCCCTCCTTGCCCCACAGGCACTCCCACCATGGCAGTGTGGCCTTTCCACCTTCGAGGCATGAGTTCTACCTGCTCCCAGCAAAGCCATAGCATTTTTTTTGTTTTTTTTGTTTTTTAGGTACTGGGGATTGAACTCGGGTTCTTGCACTTGCGCAGCAGGCGGTGAAACCACTGAGCTAACCCCAGCCCTATTTGCCACAGCATTTTTGACTGTCTGGAAGGGGCAACCAGTCAGGTGCCGCCGCCTGCAGCCCAAACCAGCATGAGTGACAATTCAAGTGGTCCCTGGTGCCTACAGGCCAGCCTCCAACAGGAGGCCTAGGTAGGGCCAATGAGAGGCCTCACCGGACAAGGGTGGCCCCTATTCCTATGTGGCACACCCTGAGTGCTGGACCAAATATAGCCTGGAGGATATGGTGGAGGCAGAGAGCAGAGCAATCAGGCTGCTGCCCTGGCCCTCCTGGGCTCCTGGAGCCCTGCAGTTCCCACTGACTACACATCTTCCTTCAACCAGGACCCCTCCAGCTGACCCACTAGGCAGGGCCTGGAAGCCCAGAGCATGAGGAATGGAGCAGCCCCCAGGGGTTGCATGAGGTGGTGATGTCTTCAGGGTCTGCCCACACTGGCTCCTCACCAGGCTCCCCAGGGGCAGAGACAGTTGGCTTCCACGTTAGCAAGAAGGGAAGCAGAAAGCACTTCCAGACCAGGGGCAGCAGCCCCGAGGGTCTGGGGTCTGAGAAGGAACACCAATCTGACCACCCCACCAGGCTGCAGGCAGGGCTACCCAGAATCACTGTCACTGGGATGGCAGGGCTATCTGTAGGAGGCATCAGAAGCTCTGGGCATCCATCTATAAAGCAGAGACCTTGTCTGGACCTGGAAGGGAGATGGAGGTGGGCAGGGACACCAGAAGCCCTAATTCCCTGATGTCCGTGGAGGGGAAATAAAGATTTTGGGTCTTTCTCAAAAAAAAAAAAAAAAAAGAAAAGAAGAAGACTTGAGTGTCCTTATGAGGTGTGATTAAAAACAGGGTGAATGTTGCTGCTGAAAAGACAGGCTCATACAAATATTAGTGTGTCTTCATCCATCTTGTTAATTGGATCTGGCACCATGCGATTACTGGCTCTCCCCCAAAATCAAAATGACCATGAAAGGTAAACATTTTCAACCAATTCAGGGCATCCAGGGAACCACAACACCACCACTAAAGATGTTCACAAAAAAGGACTTTCAACACTGCTTCAGCAAGTGGCAAGAATGATGGGATAAGTGTGTTCAAAGTGAGGGGGCGTATCTTGAGGGGGATTAGCGGCAATGTGTCTTTTACACTAACAAAGTCCTAAAAGAAACATTCACTGTATTTTTCGATCGTCCTTCACAAACAGCATCTAGGCAAAATGCCATACTACCCATGTGGATGAGTAAGACGCACCTTGTCTCCTCTGCAGTGGCTTCATGGCCCCTGAACTGTGTAGTGACCCCGGCACCAGCACACTTCTCTAGATGGTTTCAGTCATTCTTGGGACAACCAACTGCCTCGTGAACATCTTCACCAGAACACTTGGACAGAAAATCCCCACAATTCAGTGGAATAATTATGCCAACCTGGCCTGGGTAAAGTATGTAACAAGGGAAAAGAGTATCACAGCACCAAAGTCCCAACTCCATAGGCCTGGGCAGTCCTGGGTTTTAGGAGGCTATAGGCTCTGGAGTCAATCTGAGGACAAACACCACGGTGCAGCCTTGGAAAGTCAAAGAACAGCAATGTGAGAGAAGACTGAAATTGCCATGATCTGGAACCAGCAGTGTGGAAATGTCTATAATCACTGCAAGAAGAGATCTGGCTATAAGAAAAAAATAAGTCTGTGTCCTTTTCACAACGATTTGAAGACACCATTTTATGGTGTAGTTCTGCAGAGTTCTTCTGTTTTACATTTAAAAGAAAAGGAATCAAAAGTCACAGTGAGAACAATACTTGAAGTATCAGATTTGCCTTTCATTAGCTCCCCATATGGAGTACAGAACTTGCTTTTGAAATTGTATATATGTATATGTTCTTCAACCCCCAGAGGCTGTCTGGCTAAACACTAGCTCTAACTCATAACAATTCTGCTTTCTCTTAATGTGACCCACAAAGAGACTGGAGACGTTAATGGCTAGTACTTAAGAAAAGCTACCTGTCAACCTACCGCCAGGCATGTGGCCTGCTGGATCAGACAAGGGAAACCCTACCTAGGGGAAAGGGGAGAAGGGTACCCTGCCTTCTGGGATGGTTCTATAGGTTGCAGAGTACTTAGTATCATCTGTCATCCACAGAATGAGTCTCTAATCTCTGGAATTTAAGGACCCTACCAATTCTAGCCTTTTATTGCTTTTAAAGCTTGGCAGTGTTCTGGCATGCTGGAGGGTGGCAATTTTTGAGACATCTATTTTAACTTTCTTTACAAGGCAGGAAACAAACCAGTCATCTTAAAACAGCATTTAATTCTACCTAGTTCAACTTGTATATTTCAAAAATTTGCTGAGAGAATTGGAACATCCAGGAATAATTAAAATAAAGATGGATGGCTGGACCAGCCTTAGCTCTGCTTTGATGGATTTAATCCAAATCCCTCTATTTTAAAGTTGCTTTTGGCGGTTTATGACACCCCAGCTGCCATGTCAAGTGAGTATTTGGAAAAAAAGAATGGCAGAACACTTCATGAAAGTGTATTTTAGGTGGGTTCATTTTGCAGTATAAAGTTGCTTCCAAGTTTCTTCTTTTTCTTTTCTTTTTTAGAAAGGAGAGAATTGTATTGGGGAATAAAAGTCTGAATTTAAGATGGTATATGTCATCCACATATACAGTAGGAAAGCCACTTACTCTGCTGTGGGTCTATTATAATAACATACTCATTAAATTGGATTTTTTATATTAAATTGAAATTTTTTTTTTTGGTACCAGGCATCAAACTCAGGACCTTGTGTGGCAGGCAGCAGCTCCGCTGAGTGAAATCCCCAGCCCTTAAACTGGACTTTAACCGACAGTCTAATAGATACAAAATAAGCCCTTAATGGCTTCTCATTCTGAGGTATATCGTGGCCATTCCACTCTCCCCCAACTTTCTGAAAAGCACAGTACCTGGACCCTGGAGCTCCCTGTTCAAATTCACATCTTCTCTTCTTAGCCTTTTTTGAGAGATTCAAGTGATTTGGGCCCCAAAAGCTGTACATGCCCTGCCTACCACACATGCAGAAGGAGAGCTGCCTGTCTGCCTGGCTCACATAACGCTAGGGCAGGTCCTCTTTAGCCAAGGGGCCCCTAACTTCTGCAACACGTGAGGAGGAACTTTACAGGTAAACAAATGCCAAGACACATGGGCCTGGGAAAACACCGCCCGTGGAACACACACAGGCTTTCACCATGGCAGGCTCTGGAGTAAGCACTGCTATAAAATAAATCCCTATTTAGCAAGATAAGAAATGGAGAGGTTCACCAGCCTTTGAGAATGAAGGAAGATAGTAAGAATGGAAAAGGAGGAAATCTTGACATCATCTTTGAAACATTCCTATTCTTTGTCCCTAAACACGAAATCAGACCCAAGTCCTACCAGGGGTCCTTCGCCTCTCTCAGTTCTCTGCCTCCTCAGGGCTCACCTGGGTAACAGGGAAAACTATCTGAGGTTCCCTTGCATCCAGATCTTGACTTCTTCCAACTTATCTATAAGCTTCTGAAACCAAACTTTAAACCTCATTAAAACAAACACTGTTAGCCTCCTGAACAAACCGCGCCATTTCCTGATCCCAGGGACATGCACAAGAAGTTGTTAACTGAACAGCTACCATGTGCAGGCCCCTGCCAGAGGCTTCACATGCACCAGGGCTAATTTTCACAAGCCTCCTGCAAAACTAGGACTTTCCGGATTTCATCTTCCTTTTATAGAAGAGGCGGCCAGGACTTGACCCTGGCTGACCCACGGCCTCTAAAGGCACAAGACATGGATCTCATCCTCCGCTGCCAGGTTTTGTTCCATCCTGTCGATGATCCTCCGCTGCAGTGGCAGGGCTATAAGTGCTCCAAGCCTCCTCAGAGCTGTGTTCGCTGTCCCCTGTTGATGGCACTGTGCTTGTCCTTTGAGGTTTGCACTCTCTCATAAACTATGGCCCTTCTCTCACTGGCTGGACTTCCTGCGTCCTTCAAGTCAGACCAGTGCAATCCTGGAACTGTATGTTTTCTCACCTTTACAAGTCTTTTCCTTCTCCAGTTAGTCTTCGGTTTTCAAAGAAGCAACACTATCTTGCACTTTAGTAAATCCTACTGAATCCTAGTACAGTGCCAGACAAATATATGCTCCATGTCTAAAAATAGGCATCAAACACACTTTCATGTATCTTTTCTCTGCTTTGAGACTCGACTTCCTTTTTGTGCACAGTAATGGATGAATTCTCAATGAAGAGAAGAGAAGGAAAACTCCTAACTGGCTAAAAAACTAAATAAAATACAAATTAAAATTAAATCAGCCCGATTTCTTTCACTTGCACCACAGCACATTTCAGATGTCAGCTGCGTGCTTTCCTGACAGGACAGTAAAACAACCGATGGCTAAGCAAAAAAAGGACGTGGTTCTGAGTGCTCTGTGGAAAGTCTGTAAGCTGACGATCATGGCACCATCAACAAACGGGCAAGGGCGACTCAAAATTACTCTGCTACTCACAACATGCCTTTTAATTGTGCTCACTGTAGTAAAACTTGTTCATTAAATTGGACTTTCATAGAGATATCTAACAGATACAAGTTCTTAAAATTGTCTTCTAGAGAAAGTTTAGACACATACAAGTTCTAAGTCACCTTATGGTCTGACACTTCTGAGGGAACACGAAATTACATACCACAGGTATGAAATAATTCCTTCAATAATGGAATGGGAAATTTGCCAGGGAGATTTGTAACCTTATCTGTAATGAGTGTAATTACCCTGGCAGGAACTTAGCACTAGGAATAATCTGTGAATAATAATATGAGGAGCTGGGTCACAGTTTTTACTGTATGAGCATTTCAGCACTATAGAGATCCAGAGTGATAGCTTCCTTTGTTAAGTTGCTTTAAAGTGTTTACCTGGACTGAAAAAGCACAGAGTATAGGGAGAAAGTCTCAGATTTACAAAAAAACAAAACCAGAAACAATCCAAAAAACAGACAACTTTTCCCAAATCTTCACTGAATTTTGCAGCTACGAATGCTATTTGTAAAAAGTCAACAAAATAAATCATACACTGTAGAAGAAAAACAAGACTTCTGAATTATTTTTTATTGTGCCTTTTTAAGGCAGGTAGATATCTTATCTAACCTAAACATGTTCCATGGAGCAAAAGTCAGAATAAATACAGAGCCTGACCATTTACATAGCTTCCAGCTAGAGCAGAAATGAAATGTTAACAGGGTGGTTCATGTTACCTTACAAGTTGCATTAAAAGTCTGGGATCTCACTAAGGCTCAATTTCTCTTTCACTAAAAGAAACATTAGTTCCCTAAAGTAATATATATCTGGCCAACAATCAAGCCTCCTTGCTGAAAACCAAGCAGCAGCTCATTGTGTTAAAAGAAATTCGGTCTCAGACCATTTAAGTAATAAGGTCTACTACTACTTTCCCTATTCACCCTCCCTGAAAGACAATCACCTTATAACTGTCTCAATGCATACACAACATTCCTTCCAGAATGTAACTTATCTTTAAAGCTGCAACATTCAGCATTCTTTACATCTTCATGCACCTCATAAGCATTAGGTACCCTTGTCTAATGTGAAAGTCCCTTTTAGAGAAATTAGATAGAGAAAAGCTACTTGAAATGCTCAGAATGACCAGACAACATTGCCTGAAGCTGCAATCAGATTCCAGGCTCACAATTTCCTTTCTTTTTTCCAAGTTCCAAGGCTGTGATAATTCATTAGTTATGAGAAAGATTTCTGAACATTTCTAAACTAGACAAATTAACGTTTCACTGATGTTTGAGATTTACATCTTTTTAACCATAAAACACTCCAAAAGAGCATGAAATCATATAATCTTGAAATATAAAATGATGATAGTAGAAAGCAAAATAAAACAAGGAATCATCTATGACTGTTACTGAAAGACTAAAATATCTCTACTGCCAAGAAGTATAAATAAAAGACAACTCCATTGTATAGGCCTTCTGGGAAAACACAGGTTTAGGATATTCTACTTTTACATTAAGAAGTCTGTGGAAATCAAACTCCATAAGCAGTGGCATTTAGCTCTGACAGATTCTACTAGGGGAAGTGGGCACCAAGAGTCCTCATCCCAAACACAAGGGACCCAAAGACTTGTCCCTCAGCAGGGTGCTTTTAAAATGAAGTGACAGGGCCGAGGATTTAGCTCGGTGGTTCCGCCGCCTGCCTTGCAAGTTCAAGGACCCGAGTTTGATCACCGGTACCAAAAGAAATAAAAAATAAAAATAAAATAAAATAAAATAAAATGAAGTGACAAACGTGTGTTTTGAGCCACACAATAGAAAAGTTGGTCCTACTAGAAATGTTGATTCAACACTGACAATACCTCGACAGAAGGATGTTGCAGTTCTGGGCTCTCCGGCCATCAATCACTGAGAGCTCTTTGACTTTCAGTTTGGAACTCAGTGTGTCATCAATGGCATCTGCTTCTTTCTGTAAAAAGCACAAAACAAATCCATCAAAGTCTACCCGTGACATTCAGACTTCAGACACGTGTTTCCATTTCACTGTCTGTTCACACAGGTGTGTGCGTGCGCACGCACACACGCAGGCCGAGCTGAGGTGGCCTGGTGGGGAGTGTAGCAAGGTGGTGAGGGCTGAAACAAAGGGTACAGTCCAGTTGGCAAAGAGAAATACTAGTAAGGAAAACCAATCGCCCATGTCTGAAAAAGTATTTGGAAGAACAAAGTAGTTCCAAGTTGAAGATGTTAAGCGTGCATAAATTATCAGTGAGCAATGCAGTTCTTTTGTCCCCCGAATCCCTATGGACAGCAGAGACACGAGCTGTCACTACGAATCACTCAGTAGAGGCTTGCCATTGCTGGCCCAGCCATTTGGAGCACCCATTCACCCTAGAATTGTCTGCACCCTGAACACTCAATAAAGTGGAACAGGAAGACTTTCTAACATCTTCATGTGCAACAGGAAGCTCCCAAGGCCAGATGGTACCTTTCCTTGCCTTGGAGCCCCGGAGCCTGATGAGGACAGGGTAGTCCAAGACATTAGTTAAGTTACCCGAATTAACAAACACTACTGGTATATCCTGCTGCTGTACTGAGCAATGGTGGCCAGCCATAACTACAGTGGCACAGGCATAAAACAATTATGTATAAAAGACTTAACTGCACATTAGAGGTCTTCTAATAAAAAGTTCAAGGTGAAAACACAGTCTAATTTGATAAATAGCAAGTTACAATGGATTATGGTATTTTACAAATGTAAGTGAACCAAAGAATTATAAAACTATATGATAGTGTGAAAAGCAAAAGCAATGTGGAATTTATAATATGAAGCATCATGGGGTCAAATGTGTGATGTGTCTTGTGCTGAGATTCAGGCATATTTGTACACCTTCTATCAAGAGTTGAAACCCGGTGTGGAATTACACTATCTAACAACACTAACAATAGGATAATCAAGAAACTTCAAGTTTCTCAGAGTAAGCTAAGAGTTGTATCAAGCAAGGTATATATAGTAGCAGACTTACCTGCCTGGAGTTACTGTTCACAAAGAAATCCTACAGCCATGGCAGAGGCATGGAAAAGGCAACCAGACACACGCAGTTCAGAAATCACAGCAACAAATTGGGGGAGTCAAAGCAGTCAGGGCAATCAGTGGTGCAGGGTATGAGATGATCTACACCCCTACAGTGAGAGCTAATGATGAGGAGAGTCTGGCCAGAGACAAGGAGGAACACGGTATGGGGCAGAGAAAGATGACATTGACTGTTCAGTTTTCAATGGTGGCAAATCAAATTTAGAAAAGAAAAGGGCTTAGGACACTCCAGAAAGACCCCAGCTGGAAAAGCAACAAATCCTCTCTGAAAAAAACCCACTGGGCTCCACTTATTTAAAATGTTGATTTTTAGTTGAAACAAAAGGGTATCAATTAAGTTCACCACTGAAGAAAACTCTTCCCATTGTTATGTAGTACCAGAAAAACATGCTTTGTTGTTGTTGTTGTTGTTGTTGGAAACAATCTCCTATCTTCTGAAAAGAATTAAGAGAAGACAAGTCAGATACCCCCAGAGCATCCAAACTGGGCCTGCAGGTGCTTCGGCAGGTGTAAGGGGAAAGACAAACTGGGTGACTGAGAGCAATCAGTAGCTTGAGTGGATACAGCCACTGGAGGCCTGTCCAAACTGCTGTAGAGCTATTCAAGCACACAAGCCTCTTCTTGAAATTATTTTTAGAAAAGACTTGGGGTAAGAAGGGGAAGGGAAGAAGTAATTGACACGTTATGAGAAAGTGACAGCTTTTGTTGCATATTTTTGCGATGCTGGAATGAATAAAGCTTTGGTGTGCAAAACACATCCCGGCTTTGGGCCGGCAGCTCGCACCACTAGCATTTGCTCAGCAGATTCCTTCAGGTCTCACTGGTCTTGGCAGCACTGCCAAGGGCAATTTCACGCAGATGAGCTGTTCCACATCCTTCTTCTGGTGGGAAACAGAATGTGTCCTCCCCTTGCTATGCCCATTCAAGCAGGACTGCTTTTCTAGCATGGCATTTAAAAAATAAGTTGATAACCACAAGAAACTGCTCCTTCCCTCTGATACCTCGGTTTTCTTCTGTCCCTATTATAACTGTCAAGCTATGTACCCTAACTCCCTTTAGGAGTTCCTGCAAACGCAGTTTCCTTTCAAGGGCAGAAAAGCCTATGGTGAAACGAACTCCACGAGGTCATCTTCATTTTTTTTTCTCTTAAAGGGAAAGGTACTACTTGAATTTAGATTCTGCTCTCATTATCTGGCCTTCACAAAAGAAACTTTTAGGACGTTCTCTGGCAAATCTCGTTCCCACTGTCAGGAAACTAAGACTTCTGACCTCTAGCACAGGGGCTGTGCTTTGGAATCAGGCAGCCATCACTTACTGGATGTGTGGCGTGGGGCTGTTTCTATATTGGTAAAATGGTGTTAACAACTGGATTATAGTTGTGGAATTAAAAGTGATGATGTCCGTCAGGCATCTTACATAATATCTGCCACATACTTACAAGCCCAATACTTAGAAGGAATTATTTTATTCTTCAACTGACAATTAATCCACTTATTACCCTTTTGTTCTTTTCTCACCTGAGTGGCAGAAGGGCTAGTCAAGATCTCCCATTTGCAACCATGAGCAGCACTAAGTACCACAGTTAATAGCTAGGTAATATATGTTATCTGTCCAGAGGTGAGGATGAAGAATGCTATGAAAGAGTTTGGTTAATTGTTAGACTAATGATTCACTCATTTAAAGTGAATCTATTAATCAGCATATTGTAAATAAAACCACAAAGTTTATGAGTTTCATTAGATAGGACATGTTTGAAATCACACTACTTCCAGGCCTAATTTCAAGAAACAAGTTAACCTTCTTGACACCTTGCTCACTCAAAAATCAGAAGAAAATATAACAAGATACTTCTAATTGGCTTGGGTCAAATATGATAGAATCACCTGTATTTGGCTCCACCTCACAGAATGTTTGATTTTTCCAAATGACTTTTGGTATAGGACTTAGGATTTAGGGTATAAATAGGAAGCTGGTACTTGAACTGTCAGGAACTAGTGCTGATAGATTGTTGTAAATAGGGTTCCACAATGAAGCAATGACTACATTTCATGGATAAATAATACCTGTAGGAATGATTCCTCATTATTTTTGAGGTTGAAATATTTTGGTAAATCTGACAAAAACTGGAGATCTCTTTCCAGAAAAATGCATACACTAATGTTTATATAAAACCCTGAACTTACCATGTAGCCCAGTTATAGAACTTCCAGCCTTACATTTTGGTCTGAAGAAAGCAACTATTCACAAAATTTTCTTCTGCTTTCAAATGCCAAGGCTAAGGACTAAGACTGTTGAAATAAATATCCTAAATAATACAATTTTTCAGTGTGCAGATCAGATACAGAATGACAACTGTGATGTGAAAAAGGAAAATGTTTTGAACATTTAGTAAAAAAAGAAAAATACTACTGAATGTTCCAAAAAGGACTGACCAAAATGACTTATATATTACATATTAGCAATAGAGGATGAATTCAGGAGCTGGGGGCAGTAGTTATCTTTTGTTCCTTAAATCAGAGCACAAAGGCTTTGAAATGTTATACTAGGTGCTGATAACAGAACTCTAAAAGCAGAGCTGGCCTCAAAAAAAGAGCAAGGAGGAGGAAGAGCCCATGCACTGGCACCATGTTGTTCCGGAGCTATGACTCCCTATAGGTAGGTGCAGTACTGCCACCTCAGCTTGGACAGGCAGGAATGAAATTTACAACAGGACAGGATGAAAATCCCTAATAAAACAGACATTAACATTGTTTAATTGTATCTGAAATAATACTACTATGCAGTGTGCTACGATCACATTATATATTAAAATAATTCTCTTGTGGCTGACTTAGAAACCATATATAATGTAGTTTCAATGGGAAAAAGGTTCCTGCATTCAAGAAACTACTTTCAAATGAACTTCTGGAATGCAAACAGGGGAATAATGGCATGCTATTAAATTCTATTTCATGTGGCACATAAGCTTACATAATCAGCTCTCCACACTTTTGATATATGCACTGAAAACATTCTGAATGAGTGGTCATGTTCTTAAAACTGGATTTAAAGAAAATCCTCTACCAAGTCTGGTGTTCATAATGAATAAAACCATGGAAAAAGAACAAAGAGAAACTGAGAATTATGCCATTTTGTAGTCCTGAATATGTCACCTGTTGGGAGACTGAATTCAAACTGAGTCAGATTTTTATTATCTGTAACACAGGAATAGAACCTCCCTCACAGAGTTGGGGCTGAGTATTACATAACAAAAAAATACAAGAACTCTTGATAACAGAATTTTAAGACTGATAAGATTGGGAACTGTATATCATACTCAGCACCAAAAATATAATGGATACTTAATATTGACCATCATCTCTTAGTCCAAAGAAAAAAGAACAGTTTAAGTGGGTGACGATTACATAATGCACTGTGAAGACTGAGGGAAATGTGTAGGCCTTGATGTAGGCCTGATGACAGGGACTATTTGCTGTACTCTGCCCTACAGATTCCAATTAGAATGTCTGTATCTTTTGATTTTCTGGCTTTCAACATTTAGTAAATTCAATAAAATTGTTCAAATTGCCCTCATTTGGAAAATATATTTATGGTTTAAAAATTCTCATCTCTAAGATTTATATTAACTCAAGTGGGCCGGGGATTTAGCTCAGTGGTTTCGTTGCCTGCTGCGCAAGCACAAGGACCCAAGTTCGATCCCTGGTACCAAAAAAACCCAAAACAAAACAAAACTATATTAACTCAAGTATATATAATTTAATTATATTATATATATAATTCAAGTTTACATACTTGAATTTATATACTTATAATATACTTGAATTATGCTGAGCAGGTGTGCTGAAGTTTTTCTTCAGAAAGTGCTACTGAAAACATGGTCACAATTCCTTCTACTTAGCAGTCTACTGAGTGTTAAGTACAGCTGAAATGCTCTGGTCTTTCCTGACTAGAATGACTACTGATTGCTTAAACAGCATTGTTTGCTATGCGACTATTACCTGATTGCTGGGATTTCTGCAATCCCATCTACAATAGCTCTTGAGAACTGTCCACATATTTGTTCCAGAGCATTTTGGCAGCATCCTTCTGCACCTTCTACTGAAAACCAGTTAATTATGAAGCTTGTAAACTCTGGTCTTTCAACCACCTGCTTCATAACAAACACAACCCACATGCTTGGACTTGAATTTGGAGTAACTGCTGCTTTCCCTTCCTTTAATGGACTTCTCTAAATTCCCAAATCTTCATCTAAGACAACCAGTATGGATCAGGATCAGCTACTAAAACTGGAGTGGGAAAGCAATGGGACATGTCACCAGGTCAGAAGATTATCTGAATTACTAGGAAATTGGCTAAAATGTCCTATGACTTCCTGTTGAGGGCCAAGGGACACCACCTGGGAGGGGTGTGGGGAGTCGGACAGACATGTTACATCCAATCAGGAATGAGTCTGGCCAGAGCAATTACAGGATGAAGACTTTAAATGTGCATTTTGTTTGTTTTTTGCAAGATCAGGCATCTTGTTTTCTTTTTCTTCCTGCCTTTTATTCGGTGTGCATTAACCCTGCATGGGTTGCCACCTCATTTATGGAGAAGCCCAGCTGCAGGCTCCTGTTTCAGGCTTCATGTCAGCATGACAAGCAATTATCTTTATTTTCATACGTTATTCAACCAGCACAAAAGGCACTGGGGAAAGCTTGGTTTCCCTTAGGGTAGAATATTCTTGTTAAATACTACTCTGCCAACCTAATTCAGATGCATCACAGGTCACCTTAAACGTTAAAAAAAAATTCTCTTTGTTTTTGTTTCTCTTCCAGCCTCAGCCCATGTTCTTTCTCGGGGACTGGCACTTCCTTTTTGAGACATTCTTCCTTGGGAAGCAAGTCTAGCGAGCTGACTAGGACGTGTGCCATGTGGTGCATGCTGGAGGATGCTGCACCCTGGACGTGGTTCAGGGTCTCCCAGTGCAACTCGAGGAAAGCCCCTGGAGCTGCTCTTCCCCATCACCCTGTGTGAGACACAGTATACTCTCTTGGCCATTCTGCTCCTTCAGTCACCCTTAAGAATCTTGTTCTTTATGCTCCTGGTTTGGTTTTCCATCTCCCAGGGCCCTGATTGACTGCTTGAACACTGCCTTTCTTTTGTTCTTCTGGAGGCCTCTGAACTGTGGCCTCTTCTGAGAGACCTTAAGAGCTCTGCTAAGAGCCCTCAGAAGAGTGGAGATTACAAGAATGTGTCTCGGACTCACAAGGATGCCGCCTACTTGGTCTCCTCAACACAGACAGCCAGCAAGTACCCAGGGACATGCTCCTGCCACCATGGTCAAAGCTTTGCTCGCTTTTCAGTACTTTTCTGGTCCTATGAGTAGCACTACCATCTGCACACCTATTCATCCTCTGTAACCTTACCGCTGAGTCTTAAAGCTTCTCTGTAGGTTCTAGGTAGCTGCCACATTCTAGTCATTTACCAACCCCCAGACTTCTAAAGATTCCATCTACTTAAAAAAGTATTCTGCTTCTGGTTAAATACTATTTATGTAGCATGTATTTTTTAAAAAACTCAGATAAAGCAAAATGGCTTCAGAAACAAATACCATGAGGTGATAATATAAGTTATGGAACTCCCCTATTAATATTTTTTCCTGGTGATACATTGTGACTAAGCATAGTGATAATATCCAGAAGTTTTTACACCAGTAAGTCAAGGGCTTGGACACATGCCATGGCACAGAGCTTCCTAGGGGGAGCTAACATACCTTCAGCTACTCATGCATACAGCACGGGCACTCACACACACACACACACACACACACACACATACCATGCTGCCTTGCAGGGACACTCCAGGGAGACCAAACAGCTTTAGGGCCGAGATGCTTATCGCAGCAGTTATGGCAGATGGCCCAGGAATCATGCATGAGGATGTGATTTTTAAAAATGTTGGCACCTAGAGAGCACATGCTATTACCTGCTGTCTTTGGTAGGCAGAGAAAGTTCTTTCCAGGTCTTCGAGATCTAGCATTTTGAAGACTTTTGCATCATCAATGTCAGTCCATACTGTTCCATCCAGTTTGTTCTAGAAACATGAAGTTAACCAGTTGTGTGGTTTATCATTACATACAAAAGAACAGGTATAGTTATTTTCTAAAAAGTAGTACCATCTTAAATTTTTCATCCTACAGCATGTTTAACATGAGCTGGTTTCAAACAACATGGCTTTATTTCAAAAGCCTTATCACCTAAGTACCTGAACTGGTGGGAACCCTGAGTCTCTAAGCTAGAAAACAAATTCTGAAAAAAACCAAAAAAGCCCCCCAAAAACCCAAAGTCTTTAGTAGCCAGGGGTGTGTCCTTTTCAGGGGGGACAGAGCTACTGATGCTACCCTCTGTGGGAGAATTGGAAAGGGCTTACCTCCGGCAGCTTGGACCAGTTGAAGGATTTGAGGGCATTTGCGGGCTGAGGAATGTTTTTCTTCTTGAGGGCCAGGCCCACTGGAGCCCCAGGAGGTGGCATGATCCCCCCTAAGGGAGGAGGTCCTGGGGGAGGGGGAGGGCCTCCAGGAGGAAGGGGAGGAGGTGGAGGAGGGAGCGCTCCACCTGGCAGAGTCAAGGGCAGTGGGGGAAGAAGGGAACCCGGCAAAGAGGAAGGAAAGGGGCCTCCCGGGGCTCCAGGTGAGGGTCCTCCTGGGATCGAAGCGGAGACAGCCCTCTGAAAAGATAAAGATAGAAAAAGAGAGATCAGTGGGAGAAGAGAATTCACTGAGTGCTTTTGAGCACACATTACTGGGAAATCCACACTTCTGAGACTCTGGGTTTAAAGGCGTGCTCCATCAGCCTTCTTCAGGGCCTCCACTTGGCTGAGCTGGCCCTCTACATGCGATACTAGAGTGCTTGCCTGAAAAGCATTCACATCTCTCTCACTTCTCGAACCATCATACAATTTGGTTTCACGAAAGTGCTTAAGAAGCTAACGGGATTTCCTTTGCTCTTTGTACAGGACTGAGGCCAAGGACATCCCAGACCACCTCACTGCTGAATTTACCCACCGGCAAAGGGAGCAAGCTACAGCAAGTAACTGTGGGGACACTTCAGACTATCTTCCCGTGTCATAAGGTCGAGGGGCCCTGAAGTGGGGAGGAGGGAGTGAAGGGAAGGCCCACCCAGGCCCGCACTCACCCTGCTGAGCTCATGGAGCTGGGCCGTGAGGTCTGCCACCTGTTGCTTGACCTGCTTGTGTTCAGTTGTCTCCTTCTCAAGTTTCTCTTTCATTTTATTTAAGGTCTGCATCATTTCTTCTTTCTCTTGGGTCTTGGCATCACATTCTCTCTCTTTCTTTTCCAGTTTCTGCTGTAATTCATTGTGCTCTACACATGAATGCAATGGGATATGAGAACAGGAGGCTCTGCAAGCCGAAACAGTTGCTCTAAGAAGGAAAACTGACTCAGGGTGATGGCAGAGACTGAGAGGCTCTTCGTCAGGTCAGTATCATCCCTGCTTCTCATTGAAGGGAGCTACTCAGGGGCTGAGCAGCATTCATGCTTGGAGGGGGGGTTCTGATAAACAACTGTACTAAAGACACTGTGTAAAAGATGTGAGAAGTACCCTAAGAATGAACAAAAATTTGAGCACCTGCTTGTGGAAGGGAATATGCCTGTTCGACAGCTACCTCCGAATCCTGTCAGAGCAATGGGCCTTTAGCCACACAGGGAAAATGAGTATGAAAGAAACCCTGTGTTACAAATCAGAAATGGGACAAGGAGAAGTTAAGCTTGGATGAGCAAGGTTAGCTGGCTGGTTTCCAGGTGAAGGAGCAGTCTGCACTGTGAGGAGGAGCTGACCTCCATGCCCCTCTGAAGGCCCCCTGAAGCATTTCAGACTTTTGGAAAGCGATTATTAAAACTTTGTGAAAGAAAATGTTATCATCTCAGCATTAAATATCTTAAGGACGGTAGTATTGGTTGAGCATGAGAATCACAGTAATGTGGAAGAAAAATAGTAGCTCTCAGCTGGGGTTTTACTGACTTCCTCAGTTCTGCTACAATGGAACAGGATGTTCAGCTTAGCATAATGCTCATTCACATGGCCAATGAATAAAAAGCTTACTGACAGCAGTGATGAGCCTTGGGAAAGAGAAATAATGAAGTTTAGGCTGCAGATTTTTTCAAATAGTTGGCCCCAATTCCTACTCTTTTTATACCAATAAATCCACTAGAGATATAACCCACTGGGGCTAAACTGTACAGAGCTGGTCTATATTTCTGATTTTGGTAACACATTTTAAATTCTTGTTGCCTCTGAACTTCTCTCTTCTGTGTCCCTCAGAAATAGAATTTGTAGTGAGGCATTCAAACCACTAAAATCTTTGGAATTGAGGTAACCATCAGCCCATTTCTACCATTACACAGATGTCCGACTTCTTCAGATTCATACCAAAAAACCAGTTTAGGTCCTATTTTCTGTCTTTTATTGCCATTTCATTTTTCACTGACAATCTTTCCCCACTTTGGTAGTAGACATCAAACCCAGGGCCTGGCACACACTAAGCAAGTGCTTCACCACTGAGCCACATCCTTGGCCACTCACTGACAACTGTGAGACTAGGATTTGCTTCCTCTCTCAGGTTATTAGCCTTTGACAAATATGGCTGCGCCTCTGAATCACGTGGGAAGTTAACACTTCAGGAGTCCCTGGACCCTGCTGCAAAGAGTCTATTCTGCAGGTTGGGACAGGGCTTTGGAAATAGATTTTTAAATGCTCATGAGAGGATCCTGATGTCACATTTGAGAAGCTCCAGCCTAAACATTCTCCCCACAAATTACATCTATATACCATCCATTCACTAAGCTTTAATTTAACACTTTCTGGGAGTGCTATGCACTGAAGAAAATTCACCTCCAATATTCTCTTTCAGATACATAGAATTTCCTTGTCTCTTCCCAGCCTCCACTCTCTAATATGGTAACATATGCTCTCTTAAATGTAACTTGGCTACCTAAAGCTTCTAGAATACAATTCATGTTATCTGCAATCTCTCCTCTTTTACACTCTGCTGATGACTACGTTTTAAATCACCCTGCTCCTCCCCGACTTTTGAGATCCACGTCAACCACCTGAATCCTTTAACAGTTGCTACTATTCATTGTGCAGTAGCAGGTGCTGGACACCATGCTGACATCCTTCTATTTGACAAATAACCCTGTGAAGTAGGTTTACTCCTCACTGCTACAGGGAATACTGGAGGGGGAAAGAGGACATAATTCAGCCCTCCCAGGTGAGCAGTGAGGGCAGAGTTGAGACTCACACCCAGAGACCAGCACAGTGCTTTCCACAGACATATCTGCCAAGTAAATGACGGATAACTCCAAAGCTGACGTCCCTGGCGCTTTCCTCAACTTGCTGCCTCGGGTCTCCGTGCTCTAGAATACTGTACATCCTGAAATCACCCACTCATTGGCCATTTCCCCTTTACTGTCTTTATCCTGACTTTCAGTTGATGTCTCCATTCCCCCCACAGTACTTCCTGGGATTATTTACAAGATGAGCATGCAGTCCCACTTATTTGAGAGGAATGTGGATGTGTGGGAAGAGCACTAATCCCGCAGTATTTCACACTTGGAATTATCTGCTATCAGTGGTGGCTCTGCTTTTCTGCTCGATGGCAAAACATACATATGATGACAGAAAAGGAAATGCTACGACATCTCTCGGACATTCTTTTCAGCACATTAAATATCGGGGTGAGTGTGATTGTACTTCATTGGCTGTGACTGAATAACTTGGACAAGGAAAAGGAAGTCAGTGAACCAGTATGGTAAGAGAGCAGTGGCTGGGCATATGATTGTTCTCACAGAGGGGCCTTTAATTTGCCAGTATGCTGAAGGAAGAGGAAAGCTATACATGTCTCCAAGTGGCTGACACCATAAGAACACAGATGTCTCTCCTGTCACTGATGCCGACAATATCAAAGATATATTCACATACTAAAAGCTGCCTGTTAATGCCTTATAACACATACCTCTGCAATGGCCACTGATTTTCTGCATGATTTCTTGATTACCACTGGTGCCAAATTAAAGTCATGAAGAAAACTCAGCTGCTGAAACCAAGTGACCACTGCTTCTCTCTTAAAATTTTGGCTAAACCTTAGAATGCCTTATTTTATTTCTTAAACCCTATTGTGTTTTAAAAAGTAGTTACAGTGTAAGGGAAGGGTTTGGATGATTAGTTAAAAAAATTTAAATCAATGAAAAACTGAACAGTAAATATTAGGAGCTTTCCAAAAACATTTATATGATTATAATAAAAGGATAAAATCTTTGGGAATCTGCACACCAACTAAAATAGCTTGACTGAGAAAAAGGCAGGGAAAAATGTCCTTAAGACAGAAAAAGAAAGGCTACTTGATACAACAAGAAACATCAAGGCAAATTTCCAAAAGACACAGAGAGCAAGGCCATCCCGTAACTGATAATATGTCCTCTTCTCTTGGGAGTGTCACCCAATAACACAGCATCTTCTCTTGTCAAGTCCTTATCATTTACCTTTTCTCATTTTTTCTGCTTGTTCTTTCCACTGCTTAACTTCATTTTCATTAACCAACCTATAGAACAATTAAAAGAGTACTCATTACAAAAAGTCTACTGTAAAGAAAATCCTCGGTGCAGGCTTGAAAGCCGTTTAAACCTAGATATTACTGAGGTATATCGCGTGTGTTTATAAAGTAACTCATATTTGACCCCTAGAACATTTCAGCCCTCCCAGCTATTATTTTGAAGTAGGATCAAATAAGTCTATTACATTTCATCACTACCTCACAGGCAGTAGAAAAGGAAGAGACTTACATTCGTACAACATTTTTAATATCAAAGTTTTCCAAAGGTGTGGCGTCAGGGTCCTGTCCTTTGTCATTCTGGATAACTATTTGCTGTACAATTCTATCTAGAAGTAGCCAGTACTGAACAGTGTTGCCACTCCTCTTGTCTGAAAGGGAATGAATGGTGGAAAAAATTTTCAAGATCTTATAAACCAGGATGAATATTTTTCAAGAGTGGTCACCCTTAGAGCCACAGAACAGAGAGAGGTTTGCATCGTCTGTAGCAATGCCTCCCAAAACTTAGGGAATTTTGACATGTGATGATCGTTTATTTCAGAGATACTCTTTACCTCTTTACAAATGTGTTGTAAGGCACATATTTATTTTGAAATAAAAGTAAATTATAATTTACTTCATTTTGAGAATCTGACACCCCTTAAGCTACATGGAGTCATGGACTGTCACGAAGCTGAGGCTTGGAATCCCTGATGTCCACCCGCTCTAACTGGCACACTCAGGAGGCAGAGCCCTGCAATGGCATCTAAGCACTGTGCCACACCTGGGTAAGTCACAGACACTCACAAGGCATTTGGAGGCAGTGGTGCAGGATGGACATGAAGTGCGGGTAAGCTTCACTGTGCGTCAGCCTCTTCCTGGTTAGCTCAAACATCTGTGTTGCACTTTTTGTGTCTATATGAACCTGTTTGATAGGAAAAACAAATCTAAGATAAACACTCAAGCTCCTCAGTGTAAGGAGAGCAAATCCAGGGCAGACACTAATAGTGCCTCTTGGGTAACAACACAGCTCTGACTTTGCTCACAGGTACAATGATCCACGTCGACTGCACAGCATCATTTCAAGGGGCAAGCCAGAATAATCGTAAGCATACGTACCAGCTCAAATCTTTTGGCAAATTCTAGTTCATCTTCATTTCGGAGCATTTCAAAAAAATCTAAATGCCTGCAAGATAATTTAAAAAAACAGTGTAACATCTACAAGTTCAAGCATATAGGTTCAGGCCATTAACACTATGGCCTTTCCTGAATTTCAGAGATTGCTTTAAAAGAAGCAAGGCAAAAAAAAAATTGAATGTGTTTGTTTAACTATGTTCTTTTTTAAGGAAAAAATATATTAACCGAGTTAGGTAAGATCATAATAAGAGAAAAATTGAGAAACCTAGTGTGCATAGCATATAGTAGATAATATTAAATTAATGTGTTAATCAAACCTCATCAAGCCCAGATTCCTCTCATGGACTCCCTTTACAGAAAAGCCCATATACCTACACTTGATTTGCTATTCCATATCACAAAGAAAATGTTCATATCTTTCATTATTCATTCAAATATTTATTATGCCCCTATTACATATTTTACTCACTGGTGGTGAAACAGTCTACAAAGGCAAATATACCAGGGTAAAGGGAATAGAAAATAATGGGAAATAAAGTGAACAGACACAATAGTTGGGAAAGGTCTCCACAGGGAAATCTGGACATCTGTGAAATATCTTTAGAAGCTAAGAAAATAGTATGTGCAAAAGTATTTTTGACAGAATGTCAAGAAGAAGCGCACACTGGAGTGAATAAATGAAGGAGTGATGAAAGGAAAGATCTGAGAACTAATGTGGCTATCCTATGAATGGCAAAATGATTGCCAACAAGAAAAAATGAATGAGAAATTGAAATTAACATTTGTAGAATGTCTACCAAAAGTACTAAGTGATTCCATGGGTTTATGGTCAATTTTCTCAAAAGAGGAAGAAGAGAACTATCATTATGATCATCATCATTTGCACCATCTCTTACAAGCATAAAAACACTAAAGTTCAGGAAGAAGGTGTAACTTGACTAGGATATACAGTAAGAAGCAAGAATAGGATAGATAGACTCAGGTCTAATGCCTAAAATCCACAATAAGTTCTTTATGCAATATATTGCTGCTTTCATTGACCAAGTCTGTCAATAAAAACATAATTAGCTGAGCCAACATTCTGGTGTGCAAGTTCCTTGTGCTACAAACAGATCACAAGTAGTTCATGGGTTGGCCCTGCACCATAGATATGGAATAAGTATAAACTATCTTAGTTTGTAAGAGTCTGACTTACCTATCTAATGTTGAATTCTCATGTTCCCTTAATTTATCTATTACAGGTTGAATTCCTAACATTAGAAATTCATAGCGAAGATGAAGTCTGAAGTCCAAACTCTCCTAAAGTACAAGGGTGATAAAATACATATTTATGGTTTTAAGACTATATCATAATGATGTTTTAAAATTGTTTTTTAATAGTATATATGTCAGACTGTAGTACAGAAGGTTCTTACCACTCCTGCGCCTTGGCTTAGCACTGCGTTAATGAAGGACATGATGGCAGTCTTGAGACTCACTTCATCTCGATACCGCCCGGTGCTTTTATCTAAGTCATTAATTAACGTCTATCCAGGGCACAAATACAAAGGACAGAATCATTATTAGCCTTGTGCTCATTTTACAAATTTTTTATGCTTATAGGTTAACTTTTAACATCTATTTAGTCAAAATTATATTAATCCATACAAAGCCATTGTTAATACTCAAAGTCCTCTCAAAATTCTTACATCATATATGGGCAAATATACACATATATGAAAAAACTGCTCTAATACCTCTGCTTGCTTTTTACATTTGAGTAAAAATATAGTGACATAATCTCATTATTCAAACTGATTTGAACTCCAGAATGGCAACCTATAAAATTTGTATTTAGTGGATTCAAAAGATGTGTGCTATATAATATGGAGGATGCGTGGCCACACTTTCAAGTTCACTAAGTCCAAGGCCCCAGACTGGGGAACTATAGAAAGTGTATTCTATTCTCTGGCTCTTAAATCTAAAAGAAGGGAAGGCTTGAAGTCACAATGTACGTAATCATCTCAAGGAGAAATCGCAAGTAATGCTCCCATTAGGGGCCAGGGAAGGGACCTGTTCCTGCAGACTTCTGAAGAGCTACAGATGGGTGTGTGAAGGAGGCAGGGGCACACCTACCTGGAAGCGTGTCCTCTCACTGGCATACTTCTGGTAGTGTAGCATGGCCTGTAGAACCTTCTTGTGACCTCCGGGAACCAGGCACACGGCGCCCAAGATTTCCAGCACGGCCACTTTTGTTTTAATGTTCTCAGTGCTCAGACTCTGAGCAATTACATTAATACTCTCAGAATGAGCCAGCACATGAGCCCGGCCCTGAGAGTTATTCATTAGTGCCTTTATACATCCAATGAGAGAGGTATGTATTCGAGACTCAGAGGTCTCATAGTCCATGGTCTTCAGAAAGTTGAGAATACATGATAGGCCATCCAAGTCAATGAACCTGGTGACAAACCTGGCGTGAAGAAAAGTGCATCAGGCTTAAGGGCCTCTGGGGTTTGCAATAGTCCTTAGTAGGAAAGCCTGGCTGGGGGTGGGAGTAGGGTGAATGAAGACTTGGTTCCCAAAGAGTTAAAATCATCTGCTGATCAGAGTTATCACCACACCCAGTTCCCATGTACTTTGTGTGCTGATCACTGGACTCCAGCACCTTATCAATCAAAGAGCATCCTTCAACTCCAGGATATTTTCTTGTCAAACATGATTATCTATATCCCTAAGGTTTGGTAGCAAAGCTCTTCCATTATATGATATGCTACACAGAATTCTAATACATAAAATGAAGCAATATTTTATTTCTGTAAATTAATTTTGTCAATATTTGTTAACACTATAAAGTCAAACAATGAGAATAATTCACGTGTGTGTCAAAGCCTCTGAAAAGTCCAGAGATGACATAATCTGTTCATTTGACGACTTGAGAAACTTCCTAATTATTTAACCTTTTATACTCTTTAACATATGAGAATGCAGAACACACTGAGGGAAACACTGATCTAGTTACGATACTCTATCATACAGCTATACAGTGATGAATCAGTATTTTTCTTAGTTTGTTTTATTATCAAATGAAGAAAGGCAATTGTTATTTCTGAGCCATTCCTCCCACCCACATGACCCAGATAGAGTCAAGCTGGTTAAACCAGTTGGCTTCATTCATACCACCTGTACTAATAAAATGTATCGGTAAGATCTGCAACATCTCACCAAATCTAAAGGCTTAAGGGAAACTGAAGGTGTAGGAGGCACCTGGGGAAAGCTGATTATCAGACAGGAATAAAGCACTATTGCCAGAAGGCCTGCCCATCTTTTATTTTTAATAATAGTTTTATTGTCATATAATTCACCCACTTAAAGTGTACAATTCAGTGTTTTTAAAAATAGATTAAGAGTTGCGCAACCATTGACACTATCTAGTTTTCGAACATTTTAATTATCTCTGAAAGACCATTTTCCCTTTCCTTTTTCCCTGTCTCTGGCAACTACTAATCTCCTCTGTCTCCATACATTGGGCTCTTAAACACATTTCATATAATCATACAATATTTGGTCATCTGTGACTGGTTTCTGTCACTTTGCAGAACATTTTCAAGGTTATTACATGTTGTGACATGTATCAGTACTCCCTTCTTTTATTACGGCCAAAAATATTCCATGTGTGGTATATCACATTTCATTTACCCATTCAGCAACAGAAGGACACATGGGTTGCTTCTACTTTGGGGCTATTTTGACTAATACTGATAAGAACCTTGGTGCACATGTTTTTGGGGGAACACGTCATTTCCTTTGGTGTACAACTAGGAGCACAGTTGTTGGTTTATGTGCTAACTCTATGCTTAATGCTCCAAGGAACTGCCTAACTTTTCCAAAGTGGCTGCAACATTTTACTTTCCCAAGAGCGATGAATGAGGATTCAAATCATCTCACATTCCGGCCAACATTGTTACTCTCTATCCTTTTTATTTTACCTATCTTAGCTACTGCCTGCTATCTGTTAATTGAAGAAAACTTATTAAATGCTCAATGATTAAAGTATTTCAACCGTGTTTCAGTTGCATGGAAGGTCTGATCACTGCAGACAGCAGGAAGGGAAGGAGAAAGGAGAGGAACATGCAGCCCAGGGATGAAGTACCTCATTGGTTTTGTCCTCAGTGCTGTCTTTAAACTCTCTATAGTTTTACTTCTCTCTTCTTCTTCTTCTTTTTCTAAAGCCAGCAGAGATTTTCTCTATGCAAAGAAAACAGAAGTTCTTTATATTCTACTTCTTAATCATTGTACAAGTAAAACAAGCCCACAGATTATGCTATTATCATTTTAATAGAAATAATCCATATCTCTATTATTAAAATTTACTACCAAGGGCCAGGGATTTAGCTCAGTGGTTCCACTCCCTGCCTCACAAGTGCAAGGTTCCGAGTTCGATCCCCGGTACCAAAAAAAAAAAAAAAATTTACTACCAATCAAAATGTAGAGCAACACCATCACTAACTCCATAATGTTTTTTGTCTCTGTTTTAAGTTAGATCTTCCAAATTTTAAATAACGCTTTAAGGAAATGTCTAGAAATCTTAGTAAAGATTAAGTTATCTGAGTATTTCTATAACTATTCTATAACTACACTCTGATGTGGATATTACTACTTATATTTGATAGAAGATGGGGCCTGTAGTTGAGTACATCATTTTACCAATTAGAGTTAAAACTATCACACTATGAACCAGAGGAAGTGGGCAGCAATTTTCCCATTTCTCAGTCAAAAAGTGTTACTGAGCTCAAAGGAATCTCATTGTGTCAAATTAATTTTTAAAGGAATTAAATTGGACCTAATATTAAAGTGGACACTTCTTCCAGAGTAAATATTTTAACTCCAGGATACGGAGTTTTTGTGGGAATGTGTTTTTAAAACTGCCCAGGGATCTCCTACAGCAGTGCTCCCCAGACCGTAATGTGGCTATGGAAATCACCTGGGGAGCTTGCTAAGCTGTGGGCCCTTATCTGGTGATGGGGTGAGGCCTGAGATGCTGCATGTCTGAAAAACTTTCAAGCAGTGCTGACGCTTGAGGGCAAAACTCAGCTGGTATTCACCATAAAGTCATGAATGCTAGTAAAGTTCACAGTCTTTCCCACTTCATGTCTCTTGGCAATCACCTAGTTTATTAAAGCACGCCCAGGCTATGTCCCAGGAGCCTCCACCCTTGGAGTTACTGGTACCCTTCTGAATGCACGCTTGCCAAGTCTTAGCTCTTTGACCTGATACCAATTTCTGATAAAAGGCTTGACTGGGAAACTGAGGTAACAGCGTAGAAAAATAAAAGCTTAACTGATCCATGGGTCTCAATGATTCAGTCTCTCCCTTTCTGTCATCATCAAGGGCCTCATGACTTTAGTGACTTTGGTTTTTAAATCAATAGCATCAGAATTAAGCAACTAAATGTTAAAGCCTAAACCTGAGAGAATGAGAGGGTTAGAGCCTAAGGCACATGAATACAACGGTGTCACTTATGGTAACTGAAATAAAACTCAGGAGCGGTTTTGTTTTGCTTTGTTTTTAACTTGTTATTGTTTCTGCTAAACCTGTCCTCTTGCTGGTGATGCATCTGGACAGCTGTCACCAGAAGACAGTGGGGGAAGAAGCTATGTGCAGAAATAGAGAATGAAACTCTTTCGTGCTCTGTGAGACCCATCCCCTGGAAAATTCAGCACAAATCCAGCCAAGTATGTTAATCTTCAGTGGCACAGCTGAACTCATTTGGACTCTTAAGCAATCACTTTGAATCTGCAGCTCAAATCTTTTATGAATATCACTCCTTGTTCCTAAACTTTATCTCACACAACTATCCCTAAATTAAAGACTACCAATTTTATTGTGGGTCATTAATACAAAATAAAAATGCATTGGTTTCTCTTTTTAGCAGTTCTGGAGAGGATAGGATTAAGTCTTTCCCTAGTAGACTTGGAAAAATTTATGAAACATCACGTAAAGTTAAATTGGAACTTCCTTTCCTAAAATAAAGAACATTACCTTTCTCTCAAAAGAGAAGAGACTATACCTTTCTGAATATAATACAATTAGATTTAGATCTAAGACTTCATTTATTGGGTTAAGAAAAGTGAGGGTATATAGATGAGCCTGATATTCTAATGCAACTTCTCAAAATAAAATAATTTTTATGAAATCTCAAGTTTTCATGCTTCACGTTTAGAAAGGTTTAATTTGAAACTTTTGGTAAGGATGATAAGCCTACATTTCTGAAGATGTGCTCCATGCCACACAGTGTGCACCTTTGATAGGCAGGGCAGGCCTTGTGAGGGCAGCTTTGTCCAGGCAAAGACAAAGCGTGCTGTGGTGCAGGACCTCCTCGTCAAAGCTCCTAAGGGGTATACCGAACTTGCCGAGATGTGTGAAGGTGGCCCCTGGCAGTCTGAAACTAAGCTCCAGTTTGAAACATTTCCTCGGCGTGGATGTGATGAGCCAGCCCACTACACAAGCTGAACTCTTCCATCCTCTACCTTGAGAAAGCCTGGAAAAGCCAAAGACAAGGGAAGCCCAAGCCCTTCAGAACCTGTTTGGCTGCACTCCTTTACTGTACCACTTTTCACTCTTTAAAAGCCAACAGATCACTCAGGGATCCTTTAAAGAACAAAGCACTCTTGTTATGAGGCCTAGGTAACTCAACTTGTTCCACAAACAGCTGGTTTCACAAAGCAGTAAGTGTGGCAGTTCTCAACCTGGACAGTTTATCAAACTCTTGAGGCTTTCAAAAACCAGATGCCTGTCTCCACCCCTAGAAAAAGACAGAGGCAGCCTGAGGGGGTTTGGGGGGTGGAAGAGCATACATAGGCTCTCCAGGCATCTTTCTTGTGGTAAAGGGCTTTAATGATCTAGTTAGTGAGAGGCACATGGGAAGGTGCCTTTGGGTCATACTGATAGGTTTAAATTCCTAATTGGATGGTCACTTCCTAATTAGGTGACCTTGGACAAGGTTTCTGACTCTCAACCTATAAAAAGCACTGGCAGCACAAGGTAAAGACTTAAAATGGTATGTAAAGTATCTGTTGCACTGGCAGTCACATGAGGCACACTTAGTCATAGTAGCTGCCACGATGACAATGTGGACAACTGCCTCTACAACAGGTCCCTAAGCAGATGGCCAATGCATCTATCTGCTGGGACATGAAACCATTTGGAGGAACTGTGCCTTGCCACTTCCCTGGGATAATGTCTTGGGGTTTCTGCTATGCATTGTCAGGAATGCTCAAGCAAAGATGTGAGAGAGATTAGCCAGAAATGAACAGGAAGGCTGTGGCAGCTGATAGGGTGAGAAAAAGAGAAAATGTGACACAGGGTTTCTGGTCTCCTAAAGTCTCTTTGCTCCTTTACGTAGCAGAAGTTTTGAGGCCTCATTAGCTCATGGACAGTTTGAGCCCTTTATCTTTGACCTGGGAAAGATGCTGGCTCAGCCCTGAAAGGAACATCAGAAAGTTCTGTGAGGTGCTTGACATGTAAAGGACTGAAAAGTCACATATGTAATTTAACAGCCTCTGATGCCTTGGGAAAGGACTTCAGATTACGATCCAAAGATAGTTAAAATGCAGACCACTTAAGAATACAGCAAAGAGTTAACCAAGGAGCTGGAAGGAGGAAAAGGGAGACTCAGAAGAAAGGCCCAGCACATTACAGGCCCTGCACCTCAGGAATGAGCCAGGGCTACTCCAGATCAGGCAGGTATCAAGACACCGTGGGTCAAATTAACAGAGCTGCCCCGATATTTGAAGACAGAAAGGTCCGTAGTACTCAGTACTCCATTTATTTTGTTAATTTTTATTAATAAAAAAGGAATTGTTAGACATCAAACAATGCTGACTTAATTACAAAGAGAGATGGCCTGCTTGACAGTTCCTTTTTCCTAATGGGAACAAGAATTTACAAAATAGCCTTAACATGCAAGAAATGTTAAATGGCTAAGTCATTACTGCTTGAGCAGATGCACAGAAAGTCCCTTGTGGTCATCACAAATCTTATACTCTGTTAACATATTCATGCAAACGCTGAGCTCACTGTTTTCTCGTGTTTGGCATTGTGCACGATGTATCAAATAAGAAGGATTTGATCATTATTTTCTGTCCTCCTATGCTTTTAGATTAGAAACTTTTGAGGCAAAACTTATGTCATTTCCCCTATAATTTATATAGCCCTGTCATTATGTAACAGAAGCATGTTCAAAGAAAAAGCTATTAAAGAAATTACTAAAAATCAAGGCCTCTCAAAATTTAGCAAAAGTGTGATGATCCACATATTCTTATAATCTTTCAACTTTTGCAGCAGCAGTAAATTATTAGATAATTTTAAATGTTTTCTTTAAGTGACAAGAAATTCATTCTCCACAGGACTCAAGGGAAAGCAAAAACAAAAAGGTGGTGAAAATATCATGGAAGATATCTACTCGGATATTATAAATTATATTATATATATTATGTTATTATATTATATAATTATATTATAAATCTGTTGAGTACAACAGATCCACTCTTAAAATCATGAATGTGCCCAATGTGGCAAACACTATGGGTGGCCTGCAACTTTGATCAACAGTATTAGCATTTAAGGTACTAAGGTTAAAGATTGAAAACCTGTCTTCTGCTGTGAATTTCAGCTGTGGTTAGCAGACACCCCTCAGGATTCCTGGAATGCTGAATCACAGCAGAGACACCCAGAACTCATACTATAGATATTGAGAAAGCATTTTTTTTTTTAAGAATGCATTTTACGCAATAACTAAGCCAAAAGTCCATGTACCACAGCTTTCTGAGGACATCTCCACACTATTATTGGGCTTTTTCATTAAAACCACTTATGCCATGGACTCCTTACTTTGAGGAGCAAAGGGTATCTTGGTCCCCTGTAAAGTCAAGAAGCCAAGGAGCCACGTTCCCAGTAAGAAAGAAAATGGGAGGAGTATAATGAAGGGATAGTAATCATTCTATTTTTAAATGATATCAACTTTTAGAATAGTATTGCAAAGCTCGACATAATAACTTAGAGCATCTGTAGGTTAAATGCAGGCCAGGTTTCAGATTGTATGTATTCATCAAGTGTACTGGTACATTGTAGGTACACAATATGATGACACTCATCACTGGGAATTTGCACTTTTACATGATATACCTTGGTTCTTATTTTTTCCCCCTTCCCCTGCCCTCCCTTCAACCCCTCCACCGCTCCCTCTTTACAAAGACTTTGTTTCCATTTTTTCCTTTCCCTTCTTTCCTTTCCCCTACCCCTCAATTATATTTTAGTGTGTATAGATTTTATTTTAAAATATCTCTAAAAAATTACTTGGCCAAGTAACACTTCTGTCCCCTTACTTCCCTCCAACACTGAATGTTTGGGATGGAGTTTAGAAAAGGTACATGGTAGGTCTTACTCAAGTGGATTTATTGTGCAACTGTGTACTTTGTGCTAGATTTTTAACTGTGCGTCATAGAACATAAAGTATACCTACAGCAGCCATGGAATTGAGCTGATCAATGTAGAATTCAGGCCAACTTGTAGCTCCCTTATTTTCTTCCTGGTCCTAAAAATGAAAAAGAAAAAAAGAAAAGGTGATCATCACTAGAAGTCCACACAGAGTAGCACGTCTGACTTCCAGACCATTTAGACAATAGCCTCCACAAACCATGTGAAGACACTAAAGTGGATGCATTTATTTTTAAATGCTGGTTTTAAATCACTGGTCCTTCTACTTGACTAGGATGAACTTCTCTGAAGTTTCCATTAGGTATAACAAGGGGATATTTTCTGCACTGTGGACAAAGAGGAATTTAAATGGGAACTTAACCACACTACAGTATAAATTTGCTTTCCTTTAGGGATACAGTAACATTAAGTAGGGCACAAATGATGGCTAGGACCTATGCCATACTGAGGATAGTACTGCTGAGCGCCATCTGGATGGGACTGATCAGAGAAGGACACTGGCCTCAAAACTGACCACAGGACACAGCCAATTGTTAAACTGACTTTTTCAGTTAGCTTATTCAGGCTCCAGCTCTCGGTACAAATTTTGAAGTAGGGTTTCATTTGATGTGGCCAAAACTAGGTTACTGCTTCAGCAAGGAGGTAGAATAATGCCTTGCATGTAATGGAAGGTAATAAAATGAACACATGAGTTCCAGCCCCAGCACTCATGCTCAGGAGTTTGGGTAGAAAATGCAGTATGCCTGAGCTGGAAAGAACTGAAACCCAAAAAATTCAGACTCATTTCTAAACCGCCCCGTCTAGTCTTGCATCCATAAACAAGGATGACCTAGAGCCACACCGCCATCCAGGGCTTCTGCAGATGGAGATCTGGACCTGCCTAAACCCAAGCCTCGCAAAACACCACTTGGCCATGGGCTCTGCTGCACAGAGCAGAGACCATCAAAAAATGGCACTGTGGCTGGGATTTCTGTGCATCTCTGCTCACTTATGTGGCTATAGGTTTTGTGTGTGATCAAAGGGGCCTGAAAAAGAAAATTTCAGCTTTTCTTAAGCTTCCAGCTCACAGGGTCCCTTAGACCAATGATATCCCCTTGTCCTGATGGAAGAGGATATGCCATCTGTTTGTAGCTGCTGCTGGTGACAAAGCAGTTACTACTTATTCCAGCATCTCATTTCACACAGCTCTATGTACTGGTGCTAGAGCCCCAGTCCCTGGGACAGTGGTTTCAAGGCAAGGCTTTTTTAATTTTAGCCCTATACTTTACCTTGAAAAACCAAAACAAAAAGCAAACAAACAAAACAACACTTTCTCTAAGCAAATCTTTCTAGGTCAGTCTACCTGGATGGGATAAAACAAATGTAATTTCAAAACTATTTTTTAGGGAGTCACAACAACGGGCAAAGCAACTACTGCTTACAGCACCTGAAAAGCTGGAGGTAAATGAAGCTCAGCTCAGGCAGCTGTGTGGATTTCATCTGGAGAGGGAACAGCCGGATGATGGGGACAAAGGCTGGAGAAGGGACTTTGAAGTTGGACTGGGTTACACTTCCATCATCTATAAAAGCTTGGGAAATCTGATGAGTTTTTAGAATAGCCCTTGATTATAATTTAACATGTTAACAAAATAGCTATAGTGGTAGTATGAATGCTGAACCCTGCTTTCCTCTTAAAAAGGAGCATTAAAATGAGCAAAACTCTGCTGTTACCAATGTATTTAACAAGCCAAAACCCACAGTGATATCCAGTGGCATTTGAACCTATAAAATGAAATAGAAGGTGCCAGATCTTTCTACTTTCCCTAAACTAGGGTGAATTTCCAAAACAAACAAAATCAAGTCCATGTCCAAGGTCCCACAAGAGCCTGTTTGTTGTAAGCTTAACAGTCCTGGTTACAGAACAGAGACCATTTTAGAAACTGAAGACTAGTGCACAAAGAGTAAACTTTATACTTTGGAAATGTTTTAATAATGCAAACAGATTAAGAGTAGATTTAGATACTGTAGTCAAAATAAAGGGATGAAAACTTTATTTTACATGTTACAGTGATGAGAAAAATCAAACATACTGAAGTATGTGAGAGCATCTCGTAAATGTGCTAATTGCTATCACTCCATGGGGTGGGGAACTCAGAGCTTTCATTTGGTAACCCAGCACCAGCTCCTTCGTAGAGTCCTGGTTCTTACATACAGATGTGCATTTTGGTGGCCACGTGAAACTCATACATGTGAACCAACTCTATTTTGTGTGGTCGCTAAGTGTCTGTAGCTTTGCAGAGGTGCAGACCAGACAGAGATGAATGAACTACTCTTGATGGGTGGGTGGGTGGTCCCCTAACAGCACAGGACAATGCAACATTCCACAAGGTGGACACTGTCCTAAGACATACAATCTTCCTGAGAACACCTGGATCCCATATAAGCCTCTAACATGGATTATTCTTTGTGCATCTTTCTCAATTCTATTTGCTCTAGAAAATCAAGTGGAAAAATTTACAAAATCAAATAAGCGCATTAGTTATAACAGAAGTAAAAGGAATACCCAGCACTTATACAGCTCACTGTGTGTCAGACACTGTCTATGCATCCTACTCTTACTGGAGTCTACCATATCAGGGAGGTATAATTGTTTTACTGAGGAGGAAACAAGAGATGAGAGGATAGGTCACTGCTGAAGGTAACACTGCTGGAAATTCAGAGAGAGTGTGAGAGAATCAGGGCAACCTCTCTCTTAAGATTAGAGCTCAGATTAATCATAAGCAATATACATTAAGTGTGAAGTTGGATTTCATGCTTAAACACTTCATGACAGGATAATGCAAACAAGGCTACTGGTAAAAAATGAGTTCACCTTTTCCTAGATCTCTACTGCTATTTTTGTTATGTTCAATATTTCTCAATATACAAGGTATGATCAAAATATATGGAAAAGGTTTAAAATTTTTAAAATTTATTGCAGTAAAGGTCATATAGACATGAATTTCCCTCAAACTAGTTCTCCTCACTTCAAACTCACTTATTGCATCACTTTTGCTACTTTCTGAAGGAGTTCTCAAAGTCCTCTTTTGTGTCTTTACGGGATGTGAGCAAAAACACGGTGAATGTTGCTGCCAAGCGGCACACAATGTAAAGGCAGGCCATAAAACCATTATGATGCGTCTTCACCCACCTTGTTCATCAGAAGTGATACCACTCAACTTCGGGTTCTTTCTCTAAGTCAAAATGACTGTAAAAAGGCAAATGTTTTGAGTCGATTCAGAACATCAAAGCAGCCATGACAATGCAACTGAAGACACTCATGAAAGAAGACTTCCAAACTTCTTCAGAAAGTGGCAAGAATGATGGGATAAGTGTGTTTGAAGTGAGACAGAGTATTTTGAGGGGGATTAATGGCAATGTGTCTTACTGCAAAATTAAATTTTTAAAATTTCAACTTCTAATGTATTTCTTTTACCAACCTCATAATTCTAAAGTCTGATGTCTTATCCCAGGTTACGTCTAATTCTGAACTCCTGTGTTCCTTTATCAGTGCCTTATATTACATTTTATACATTTGCATACCAATAGCATTAGAAAGCTTTCCCTAATCTGTCCCTTCCTGTTGCACACCTAACACAGTCTAAAGGCCATCTTCCTGGGGATTTCTCGAGAACACTTGAAAATCAGCTGTTAACATCAAGCAGTTCTGGACACTAGAATTATAAACAAATATCTCCTTAAACACATACATCTAAATCTGTTTTTGGCTATCTCCTTCACCCATTCCATTAGAACTTTTCTCTAAGCAAAAATACTGGTTTCATTCTATAATTTTAAAAAGTTTTTCTCCCTCTTTAAAAAAGGCAGATTACTGGGAACAGTTGTGTTACTTAGAGAAAATTATCCTATGTGAATACGAAGTCTAGCATTCACATTAAATACTCTTCAGTCTATCTACAGAATGCATAATTTACATTAAAATCTAGAACAGTTGAGGTTATAGGCCTATCTTCAGGAGGTCCATACATAATTAGAACAAAATTTATGTTATTAAAATTTCTACTGATTTGTTTTTGAGACTATTTATAATTATCACTTATTTTTAGAGAGATGGTATAGTAGAACAATGACCGCTTGAAGATGGGATTTCAGACTACTTTTTCATCTACTAAGTTGAGACTTTTGGATAAATCTGAATATTTCTGGGGCCATTTTTCTTCTCTCCAAAATTAGAGGGTGAGACCAAACCATTTCTAAAGCTCTTACAAGCCCTAAGATTCTACATGACTTCAGGAGAGAGCTGTCACAGAAAATACAAGGTGCACTGCACTTAGCTTAATGCCTCAATTTTTAAGATTAGTAATTTAAAAAATTTATACTGTTCAGTGACTTGTAGTTTAAAAAACTGTTCATTTTGAAGTTACTTTGTTTGAAAGGTAATGGAGTGGGGATCCCAACCCTCTTCACTTTATAACTTCTCTAATCGAAGTCTTTCTATTCTGTTAGAAAGTTGACAGGTATCTTTAGGAGCATATTCATGGACAATATTCCCTGCAAGATGGAACTGATCCTTGATACTTGGATTGTGCTTTTAAACACTGTTTCAACCTTTCCTTCCATTATCTCAAATTTGGGGAGGAGGGTTTGCTAGAAAAATGAACTTGTACAGTACAGGGGGCCTCCATGAACATTTTTTTTAAGGAATGATCCAATTATTTTAGAAGATAATGAAATAGATAATCTTTTCTTCTCACTTCATTTTCAAATGGCACATTTTTAAAAATTCTAAATCTCTGACTAGTGGCTAGTAAAAACTTTGAGAGGCCTTCCCCCATCTCCTTTAAAATACACAGGGTGCACTGGTTTCCCAACATGGCTTTTCCCGTCAGAATACATTTGCATTGACTCTTAGTTTAGGTCTTTCCAAGGCAACAGCACAGCTATGCCCTGGACTTCCATCTCTTACTTCACTGGCATTTCTCTCTACAGCCTCCAGTTTTGACTATTCACTTCTCTCACTGTCAATGGGAATGCAATGGAATCAATGATCACTTCTGAGATGTGTGACTTTCTGGCTGGCAAGTTAAATAACCTCTTTGTGGCTCAGTTTCAGTCTCC